TCATGGGTAAGGTATCTGAAAAAATCAGCTCAGAGCTTTGCCAAGATAAAAACTTTTTGGAAGTACTCGATGCTTGTGTGTGGAATTTGGACAATGAACCCAAAGAATTCGAATCTGAGTGGTGGGCAATTATAGTCTAATATGGCCTAGAGCATAATGAATGGTTTAATTACATGTTTTCAATTAGGGAATCATGGATACCAACATACTTCAGGGATCTCTTCTTAGGTGGAATCATGAGGACAACTTCTAGGTCTGAAAGTGAAAACAGTTTTTTCTGTAACTTTACAAATCCTCGTGTCACATTAGTTGAGTTCTTCATGTGCCTTGAAAGAGCAATGGATTCCCAATGACACAAGCAAGACAAGCTAAATTATGATTCCAAGCATTCACTTCCTCAACTAAAGACACATTTGCCTTTGGAAAGGCATGCCTCTAAGGTATACACCCATACAATCTTGTATATATTCTAAAAATAAATAACTATATCGTGTTTCTATTGTGGAATAACTGATATAACCAAGGAACATGATAAAGAGAGTTTTATAATGAAAGATTCTGCTAGAAGTAAGACTTATATTGTGTTATTCATTGCACAAAATTATCTTATATCTTGCTCTTGTAAGTTGTTTGAGCGACTTGGCATCTTATGTAGACATGCAATATGTGTTTTGAAAGCAAAAGATATAGAGGAAATACCAAGATCATATGTACTTGGCCGTTGGACAAAAGATGCACCGAAAAACCCTTTTTTCTACATGGATGATAATCTACTTGAAGAGTGTCGACAAATGAATACTAAGAAGAATCTTTTATGCGAGTGTTGGTCAGAGATATATAATTGTGTGACTCTTGGCGGAAAAAAATGAAGATGACTTGATTAGTCTTGTAGAGATTCTGAAAGGTTATAGCAAGACAATGTTGGAAAGAACTTGTAGATACATTAGCAAAAACTTGTAGATACACTAGCAAAAACTTCTAGATACACCAACTAAAATTTGTGCACACACCTAAATTTGGAATAATGAACTTGCATGTACATTACATAAAATAATATGTTGATTAGAAAACATTACTTACAAGATCGATATCTGAAGTACCAGGATAACCGGAGCATTTGAGCATGTTGGCCAATCTAAATTTAAATTCAATGCTACTCTTCACTATTTGCTTTTTTTCCAGAAGATTTTGAGTCACATCAACCTGTGAATGAAGTCATTTAGATATCCGAGTTCATTAAATATTCCACTTTTAATAATAATAATTTATATGTACAACTTGTATACTTACATAAGCTGTGGCACTATAGAAAAATCTCTTTGGTGATGCGAACCCACGACCTAAATCCTTTTGATTCAAAATCAATGCCTAGATATCAATAGCATTCTTTGTCACCACACCTTCCAAAAGTAATAAAACATGATGAATGTTCAACATAAAAATCTCCATTATGATAAAAGACCTCACTACATCCAATAGAGGAAAAAAAAATTAGCAAATTTGAGTATATATTAACAAATTAAATGCAAAAGAAAGAATGTTATCTTACTTCGAAACTCCGATATCCAAAACATGATTGCACAACATATTCTCAACCTCGGTCATCTTTTTTAGCACATCAATGTCACGATCATAATAAGGAGACCTATGATACGAAGGAAGGTTCTTTGGCTTCCTTTGAGGGCAATCTCTTTCAGCTTTATATTCATTTGTGCTTTCAATTTGATAAGTTGAAACATCTTTTTTGCCTTATGTCTTCCCACCTCGTTGATTCTTAACCACTACATTAATGTTGGGTGGCACGTCCACAGGTGGTGTGAGATCAATACCTAGGCTAAATGATGGAAGGTCATTCTCTTGCCAAGTCGGTGGACATGTTTTCTCACAAGCCTTTTTCTTAGAAGTCTTGTTAGTCTTGTCATAAGACTTCTCAATACGATCAATTTCTTCGAGAACTCCTGGTTGTCCAAGAAAAGCGTCAAAATCACTAACATCTGCTTGTATGTGAGAAACTTTAGTAAATTCCTCTGTGGCAACTCTTTGTATCTTCTTTATGTTTCCAATGCCGGAAAAATCCTTGTCACCCTTTGCGATCACTTCTCCTAACTCGACAAAAATCTTTGCTATTTGGTTGATAATAGAACAAACCTTTTTAGCAAAATCCTGAAATTTCAAAGGTTTAAAAGTTATAAATCATGGAAAATGAATTGATATGTTCATTGTGAATAAATAAATAAATAAATAAATAACTATAACAAGTGCATACCTCTTTTGACGAAAGGGATAATCAGCTTCAGATACATTGCTTGCTTCTTTCCTTTATTCTTCTTCTTTCTAATATCACTCAAGGAAGGCAAAATCCTGCCTAATCCAAACCTTCCTGCATTTAACTCGTCTGTAATTCTTTGTCCTATTGTAGATGAATTCCAGCATGAAATAATAGGAACCTTCCTATCCACTTTTCCTCCAATGAATTCTACTTTATCACAGTAGAATAACTGCTCAATAAAAAATGGAATGTATAAATAAAAACAAAAAAATAAAGAATAATACCATATAATACTTGCAGATACACTAACTATAAATTTCAGATACACTAGCTAAAACTTACAAATACACCAACTTAAATTTACAGATACACTAGCTAAAACGCATAGATACATAAGCTAGAAGAGTATGTGCAGAGTAATTACCATGAGAAATAGCACAGAGCCCTTAAAATTAGCACCTGGGTTCTCTCTCCAACACAAGACAACATCTACTAAGCTTTGGATTGTGTATTGGGACCAATTGAACTAACTTATCTCACTTGTTTTCATCTAAGAAAACAATATCTTATAGTTGCACTTTGCACCTTTATGACCATTCAAACAACTAGAAACAACAAAAACCACAAAGTTCCTTTTAAAACATCTTCATATCCGAGATTAAGAATCTTATACAAATTTGGCTTGTAGCAGGACTGCCGATCTTCAAACCCCATATATTCCTCCACTTACTTAGTAACTCACTAAACTCTTCTGTTTCATGATCATTTTCTGCTTCTTTCACTACTTTTGCACCCATCTGAAGACCAAGAGTCAAATGCACATCCTCTGCATCAATATTGATTTTCCCATCTTGTAGATACAAAGTGCAGCTATATGGGTCGAAATTCTGAACAAGCCAAAGGCTTAATTTAGGGAACAACTCCCCAAAACCTAGAGTGAGTAAAGCACCAAACCCGATCTCCTAGACAGCTCAACGTCGGTCATCATTTAATTTGTTGATCATATAGTATAGTTTGGCAGGAGACATCCGAGTACAAAGTGTATTTTGATTTTGTGTGTCTAAGTTAGGTAGCTTTTGGATTACCGTGCTTGTACTAGTATGTGGCTTGGACACTTCAAGATTTCTCACTCGTCTTTCCGTTGGAGCTTTTACATAGGTACTAAGTTCCAATCCTCTTGCATCTTCCTCTCGCGAAAGAGTCTTATGCTCAATGACACTCATATCGATCTACCATAAAATAAGAGAAAAAGTAATAAGACATTAAAAGTGTCATATTAAAGTGAACAATAAACCAATTTTAAAACAATAGGTACACAAATTAATTTCTACAATTATATATATATAACCAATTTCTACAATTATATATTAGTAAACAATATCAGATACAATAGAAACAGTAGCATATACATTATATAGATGATCAATCAAAGTTCAAGAACAGAGCCAAATATTGGATTCCAGCCATATTGTTGTCCAAGTTCCAGCCACAACTATAAGCATAAATTAAATAAAGACCATAACAATATTCTAAGAAGGCAACAGGAACCCCAACACCAGCGAACTCCACCTCCAGGGAAACAAAAGGACAGAAGCTCGAACTGCAGCTCCGCTAATGGAGATCTTCCACCAAGTATGACTAAATCAGATTAAATAATTATACAACTTATATAATAATCAGATTTTATATTATATAATTTAGTGAGTTGGTCTTATAAAGAAATATTAGATACATTATAATAAATCAATAACACATAAATTACAAACCAACAATGATATGTCGCTTGCTGTTTTTATGAACTAGAATTTGTCCACCATCATAAGCACTATAGTAATAATTTGGGATTTGTTCAGCAAATTTAACCAAAATTTGAGTCAGCTATAACAAGTTAAGATCTACTTAAATGTTACATAGGTAGGACCCAATAATGTATCATGCTCCTTAATGTTTTTGAAGTAAACGAAAGCTGACTAAATATTTTGCATCAACCATTTTAAGATTTGATTTCTACTAATTATTTTTCTGCAAAGTTTTGACAATTGATGAAAATTTACCCAAAAAACTAAGTATTTCATGATAACTACAATTGATTAAGTACCTTGATTATAAGCAACAATTACAGCAAGCTAAAGTGAAATTTAAATCAATTTAACATCAATTTGGATTATTACAGCAAGCTAAAGTGAAATTTAAATCAATTTATTAGCATCAAAAGAGGGAAAATCAAAACCTAGATTAAGTAAGCAGTAATGTTAAAAGTAATCTAAGACAATTAATCAAACTACAAAGTAATCTAAGACAACTTATCGATTATCCATACTGCAATTCAACAATCAAACTAAATTTAACAATCACAAAATATAACTATTCTATCAATTTACCACATTCATGAAATTAATCAAAAAAATTAACCCAACAATTTTTTGTGCCTCTAGTGATGGTGCTGAATTGTTAAGATCGGACTAAGCCATTGATTGAAATTAAGTTTAAAGAAATTGTTATGGCGGCATTTTTTAAGTAACTAGGATGGTGATCGAGGAAGGGTGAGAAAGACAGAACCTATTACTTGAGTGTCATTATATTGCACTTAGTTTGTGCACAAAGTGAATTTACTAATATAGTAGACAACTAGACATGTTATCTGCTCTCAAAAAACACGTTAAAAAGACAATTAATAAAATTCAGAGAAAATCAAATATTTACTAAGAGTATAAAACATCAAAAATGGAGATTTTGCATTAACTTTTGTATCTCGGAGCCACTCATTTTCACAATTAGCTACACTTAAGATACAAGTTTCCAAACAAAGGTTCTAAACCAAAATTATACAAAGATAAACATAAGATCTTACTAAAGGTCGAATATGACATTGCATCAAAAAATGCGATGAGTCATTGACCAAAATAAAAATAAAAATACATACAGAAAATCAAGGATGATTATTGAATCATCTAAAGTTGACTTTAGCTTGATAAGTCATGCCCATAGTCCAATAAGGTGGGACAACATTGTAGGCAACAATAGTCTCACGAGTAGAGTAAGACTGGATTTTGAACGAAAGACATTGACCTCCTAATTGAGCAAAAGCTTGGTATGAAGCTCCCCAATTGTGGCTCATGCTAATCCATCCCGTTTTGGATCCTTTCACCCACATTTTGGCGATGTCACCCGCGCCACCAACGTTCATTACTGTCGTTAGCAACCAATAATTGTTTCCTTGTAAGCTAAATCTTATGCCTCCCTTCTTCACACATGGAACCCTATTCCGTCACCAATGAATAAAATGATTAGAATGATTTTTTTACTAATAAAAGTATGTTTTGACATAAATACAAAATTAAACAATACTTCGTATAGTAATTTAAACCAGACTTAAAGTTGTATCCAAGTAAAGCCAGCCTTAAGACTAATCCAGAGCATTAATTAATGAAATTTTTGTTATGGAGTACTTTTATAAAAATAGTGCTACAAACAAATAGTCAAATAGTATGTAGCTTAGGTTGGCAAAAAAGATGAGACCTAATATAAATTTAATTTGTCTAGTTAAATAATTAAATGAGCATGTAGGATCGGTGTATTAGTGTATATATCTTAGTTAATACCTTCGGTATTGGACAGGAACAATGCCAGCCTTCCAAAAGGCAAGTTTCTTGAATGCAGGCATGGAGAGGTCAAAGTGGGCTCTAGGAGGGTTGCACCAACCACCAGCATTGCTATCTTGAGCCCAGTTTGGAGGGCATAGATTTGTAGCCGTGACGGTAATAGAAGTCGGGCCGTGGCCATAACCCATACTGTTGCACCATTTTGATCCGATACACATTATTTGATAACAACTACCACAACCATATCCATTGTTGAATAATACTGTGCTCAATGCAGCTGTATTCGTTCCATACCCATTGTTGAACAAATTTCCATATCCACATGCTCCTCCTATAAATAAATATATAAAAATCAGCGTTTCATATTTTCATATAATAATAGTTTATATTACTTCACTAGGTTAAAAACTATGAAAAGAGGTATTGGGCTCAATCATTTGCATTTTTATTTGTACCCAAAAATAAAGAGAGATATGTATTTAATTTCTATATATATGTTAATTGCATTACGAGTATTACTAAATCATTATGTATAGTTACATTTCTCATAATAAATTTAAACATACTTCGCATTACATAAGCAATTATGTATTTATTTAAGTTATTACACTTAATGTAGCACTAGTTTTAAATAAGATATGTGAGGGTTAATTTCTCAACCATCACTAGCTATATAAAATAAAAAGTTATACCTCGCGTATATAAAGTGTTACAGAAATAAAAAAGAAATAAAAAAAAATAAAAAAAAAAGAAAAAAGAATAAATAATAAATAATAATGATTTAGTATATATACCCATGGTTTCAGAGGCACTATCATCACCATAGAAAGTTGCATGAGCATAGCTCCATTTACTTGGTTTGAAATTAGTAGCATATCCATTTGACAATCTCAACATTCCTAGTACTACCATTACTGAAAACAACTGACTAAATTGCCCCGATCTTTTCAAAATTGAAGCCATAATTATGATTAGATTAAACACTTTGTGAGTATTTCGTTTTTTTACAATAAGATTAGGAGATGTATGAATTTGGAATGATATAGCTTGATAAACTATACATGGTTTATATAGTGTAACCATTGGAACGTATTTACGTACCCAAACTTAGTGCCACCCACGAATAGTACGGCAAGATAATAGAAAATAAAACACAAAATTAAGTCTAGGTTATTTCGTTTAATTAGTTAATCACCAATGTTCAATGTTTGGCGGTGGAAGATCAACGCTATTTACGTGCTAGCAAGTTATAATGAATATAATTATATTTGACTATCATAATTTGGTAGGAATAATCTTTTTTATTCATAATGAGTGGATATAGTAATATGATTTCATGAATTATATTAGATTGTTGTTAGCAATTTATGCAACATGCACAACTTATATAACTACTATAAGGTTTAACCACCACATTTATTAAATCAAAGTTTATCAAAGTAGCATATCACCATCTCCAAAATAATTTTCTATTTTTAAATAGGTTAAGAGACATTATACTAGCATTTTTGGTGTTTAATTAGAGAGCCACAAGGACGAGTTAATCGATCCCATAGTCTCTTAAAATCGGAAAAGAAGTTCTAATCACTTGAGTTATCCCTCAATTTCATTATATTAGCTAGCTATTACATACTAGTCAATTTCCTAATATTTGAGAAATTGAGATTACACTTGCATTGTTACGTACTTGATCATGCTTGAGCCAATTTACAAGCTATCCAGTCTTAACCAATAAGATAATGATATGAATATGAATCGTGCAATTTTTGTCGTGGCATGTCAAGGTAAAATTTTACTTCACTTAACTACATACATCATTTAACTATGTAAGTGGGTCAATTTCATTGGTGTCCTAGGCCTATGAAACAATCGTAACAATAGGTTTTTTAGTGCTTCAAAACGATATATTTGTTATTTGACTTTGTTTAATTTATGATGTCATATTCAATGTATGTTTGAAGTCGCTCTAATTCATTTATTTATTTTATTGCTACCTAAGCTCAACATATTATATATATCAAACACAGAATGTAGAAAACTAATTTATGATAATTTCATATTCAATGTATCTGTGTTTGAAGTCACTCTAATTAATTTATTTTATTACTACCTAAGTTCAACCTATTTTATACTCCGTATATCAACCGCAAAGTGTAGAAAACTAATCATTGCACTTACATGAATGACATCCGAACTACGGAGTAGCTTAGATACATAAATGATTCTTGTGTTGTTATGTATTAGCATATATGGGCCGGAAGGACCTGTAAGAGGTTCCGACCTCTTTAGACCCTTCTCCTTATCAACAAAAAAAAAATGTATTAGCATATATAATTTTATGAAGTATATATGAACTGTTACTTCCGTAAATCTATTTATCTATAATTATATACTAAAGGCGAATCAGGAATGTATGACACGTGTCATCTCCTGATTAAATATTTTCCCGCCTTTTTATCCTTTCTTTCTTTTTTTTTTTTTTTTTTTTTTGGATCAAACCTCAATATAGCTATACTATTTTCTTTCCATATTTTAGGTACTACTTCCTCTGTTCATTTTTACTTGACCCGCTTTGACTTTTACAATATTCACCACCCCTCCTTTGACATCTTTTGTGAATAATATGTAAGGAAAAACATATTCACGTGGGATCTTTTTGACACTATTAGAAAACAACCAAATTTCGACGGACACATTATTCCGTCGGAAAAGTCGAAATTTCCAACGGATTTTTATTTCGTCAGATATTTCCGACGAATTCAACAATTCCGTCAGAAATCCGTCGAAAAATTCCGACAGAATAAAAATCCGTCGGAATATTTGTACTTTCCGACAGAATTTTTCGTCGGAAATTTCCAACGGAATATAATTTTTTTAAAAAAAGAAAAAAAATAAACACCTTTAGAAAAACCTAAAGCCCTTCTCTTTTCCACCTTTTCTCTCTGTCTTTCCTCTCCTCTCTCACCTCTCCTCTTGTTCTCCTTCTCTCTCCTCTCCTCTCCTTCTCTCTTTCTCCTTCTCTCTCGTTCTTTATCTCTTTCATCTTCTCTTTTTCTCCTCTTCTTTCTCTCTTTCGACCACCTTATATCTCTCACCACCACCGCCAACACTAACCATCGCCGCAACAATGCCATCAACACCGACATCAACAATAACACCACCAACACCGACATCAACAATACCAATTTCCACCTTTTTTCGCCCTTTCTCTTTCCTCATGATGAAAACAAAGGTTTTCAGGTCAAATTCGACCATGAAAACTCTAGATCTAGAGTTTTTATGGTCGAATTTGGCCTTGTAAACCCAATTTCAAGGTTTTGTATGGTCGAATTAAGGTATGTGTCTCTTTTTTTTTATTATTAGAATTTATTGAATATATATAGTTGTGGTGGCTGTTGGAGTTCGGGTTTTTGGGGGTTGGGTTGGGATTTTAATATTTTTTCCTTTATTTTTATTTGTTAATTTTTGGGTTGTGACTGTTTGTTTTGGCGGCGATGGTGGTGGGGTTTTAGGTGGATGTTAGGGTGGTTTGTTGTGGTTTGGCCGAATTTGTTAAGGTTAGGGTTGTAGATCTGGGTTCGTTTGGGTGGTAGATTTGGATTTGGGTGGGTTAGGGTTAGGTGGGTAGGGAGTCTTGTGGAGGTTTTGGTGGTTGGGTAGTGGGTGGCGTGGGCTGGTGGTACGGGTTAGGGGGGCTGGTGTGGGCTGGTAGCTGGTGGTGGGTGGTGGTGGGAGGTGTTTTTTTTTTGTTTTTTTTTAAAGAATTTCCGACGGCATTTCCATCGGAAATTTCCGGCGGAATACGTTTCGTTGGAAATTTCCAACGGACTTTTCCGGGCCGGGAAGTCTCCGTCGACAAACTGAATTTCGTCAGAATTGAATTTTCGTCGGAAAAGGCCGTTTTTCCTACAAAATGTTTTCCGACAACCAGTTCCGACGGAATTTTTTCCGTCGTTATTTGCCTGTTTTCTAGCAGTCTGAATTTGTCTCAATAAGTACTATTATAATATATAACTTTTATAATTTTTACCTATGAAGAATTAAAGTTATTGATCGTTAAAGTTTTGCATTGGCAAGCGTGATAAAAGAAACAGGTCAAATAAAACAAAACAGGGGACGTATATAATTAGAATAGTATTTTTTAGCCAAGGACGGTGTATAATCATTCATTTTTATTTTCTCCAACTTTATTAATTTTGGCAATAAAGTATATTTCGATTAGTGAAGAAAATATTTTAGTAACATATATAATTTGTCGGGAATACAATTATTCCTTCCCTACTTCAACATAATAATGTTCGCAATAACCTATAAAAATTTAATTAAGAAAATGTTATTTTATTAATAAAAATTTATATATACTACTCATATATTATGTAAAAAGCTCTGAAAAATCAATAACTCTAAATAAAAAAAAATCGTTATTAATTATCACAAAGTAAAATAAAATAAAATTAATTTTCATAAAACATTATGTCGAACAAAATATGTTAACAAATTAGGGATAAAGGGTATATCCATGTATGTGTGTATCATATGGATACTAATCTAAATATTGTATAAAACCTCATAGTCCATACATTTCTTTCATTTTATTTTATTTGTTAAGTCTTTTTCATCAATAATCTTGACGTCTTTGGCATGGGTATAAATTAAAATTCTAGCTATTTTGTTTCCTTTAAAAATATACTCCGTATTTTTTGGTACATAATTGTTGCAATATAATTCACTATAAAATTTAGTAAAATCGTGCATGGCACGGGACTTAAGCTAGTACTGATGTTAAAACTCAATAATATTCTAGCACTTCTTATTGAACATTGTATGTGATAATTTAATACGTAAAGATACACTTTCTTTTGTACATATCTTGACAGTTGACACTATTTATAAGTTGAGAGAATTTTCTAAATCAATTACTATACTCAATATACTATACATAACATATTCATGTCGGGTCTTACTTAATTTGTGTGAATGAGTAGTTTATTAATATATATAACGGTTATATTATTTACTAATATGCAACTACAAATATTTATGATCAAAGTAATTTATTAACGGACATAGTTAAAATGGAAAAAACTTTTATGATTGAAAAAGAGTATGTACTGTCAAAATTGAGTTAGAAGCAAGAATAATGAGGGATGCATCTTTCAAGTGCACTGGGATGGTGAGGAAGGGTGGGGCGGGATAAAAAGATGGGATTTGATAGGCTGGGATGGAAGATAAAGAATGGTAAGTGTAAGATAGGATAATTCTCCTTGGAGGCTTCCGTTCATTATTCACAGAGTATATATACATTAGCATTCTATGGTTTACACACAGTACCCTAATAATTTTTTTTTTTGAAACCAAGAAAAAAGAAGCTTATATTGATAACTTGTACATCAAAACATACAGAGAAACCTCACAAGTTCTATGGTTCTCCCAAATTTGTTCACAACCAAAAGACGTTAATCGGGCTAAATTGTGGGCAACAACATTCCCACTCCGCTTAATGTGGCTCCAAATTACAAAATTAGAAGAGGAACTAGAAGATAAAATATCGTTCAAAATAGAGTCGAAATCAGAGAAAAAGATAGCTCTCTTGCTCAGCTGTTTGATGAGGATATCATTCACAATAACCTAATATATTCCAAGGCTAATATGGACTAATAATATTTACATATTATTATGTTGAATGAGGGAGAAAGATCTTTGAATATATAGGTCTATATAAGAGTGAAGGATAGCTTAAGTGGTTAGAGTTTCCTTCCTAATGTCAGGAGATCCTGGGATTGATTCTCATCACCCCCGCCCTTGTGGCTCTCTAAACACCAAAAAAAAAATTCATAGAACTATATTGGAGTTCCCTTGGAGAAAAAGGCATCTATAGTGTCAATGTGCCATTATGTTGTACTCTGTACTTAACTTAGCTTAATCAAGTGAATAATAGATACTTTCTCTGTTCTTTTTTACTTCACCTGTTTCATTTATCACGCTTGCTAATCAATAACTTTAATTCTCCATGATTAAAAATTATAAAAGTTGTATATTATGATAGTACTAATTGAGACGATTCTAACAACATCCCACATAAATATGTTTTTCATTACATATAACACACAAACGACGATCAAAAAAGATGTGGTGAATAGTGTAAAAGTTAAAGCGGATTGAGTAAAAAAGAATGGAGGAAGTATGTTACTAACTCCCAAAAACACATAAAAAGACGATAAAGAAAATTTAACTTTAAAATTCGAGACTTTGCATAAGTTGTTGTATCTCGGAGCATAAGTTGTTAAGGTTATTTGAGATTGGCCCCAATTTGATTTTTATTGTTCCTGATTTGGAAATTTGGGATTTAGGGTTTAGGGTTTGGAGTAGGGTTATCTGTTTGTTTGTCCTCCTTTTGTCAGAGTTTGTTTGATAATTGAAGATTCTCTAGGCATAATTGGATTAATTGATGTACTTTGGTACCGAGTTAAGGTTATTGTTTCAAGAGATTTTTTTTGATAATTTTGAGCTCTAGTTCAATGCTTTTGGTGTTTTTGAGTTAAAGGCCTATAATTTGTCGCTAGACTATAATAGGAACTCGTAGGATGTTATTATCTTGATTTAATTCACAGAAAGTGGGTAATCATTATACTCTGCCTATTAGGTAGCATTGCATATTTAGTATTTTTTTATACTCTGCCTATAGTCATAGCATTGCATATTTAGTATTTTTTTTATGCTAATGTAGCCATAATATAGCACATTGTAGCTATGGCAATTAGTGTGATGTCATTTGATGTGTAAGAGTTGAGCAAGTGGAGTCCATCTGGGCGCATAGCTGTTATATGCATATAGAAGGGCATAAAGGTAAATTATCAGCCATTGGTGAAATAAAAAAACTCGCTCACTTCTTTTTGATCCCGTTATTTTTTGAATTGTAACAGTTCCTCGTTTTTGGCAATTTTAATATTAAAGGTGTTTTATTTTCTCTTTCATAGTTTCTAAGTTAGTCAAATACTATTTTCACTCTCTCTGTCATAGGGGATATATCGCATGCATTGGTTGCCGGCGGTGTAGAATAAGGTGGTAGCCTGGTGCGGTGGTTTGAGGACAAATAGTTTTCGAAGTTCGAAGTTTTCTGCGTTGTTCTATTGAAGGTATGAGGAAAATTTAAATACGTGAATGATGATGGTAAATATGTGTTTGTAGATGTAAATGGAGTAGTTCATAAGTGTGAAATTGTTCAATTTGCGAAGGTATATGTAAATAAATTAGGGTTTTGCGCGAGTTCAATTTAGTGATTTAGGGTTTTTGGGTTTTGTATTGAATTCATGATTTTATGTGAGTTGAATTTTGCGATTAATGTTTTTTGGGTTGTATATTGAAATTAGGGTGTAGTCAGAGTTGAATTAAGAGAATTATGGTTTCTGGGTTGTGTATTGAAATGAGGGTTTTGTCCGTCTTGAATATTTTGATTTTGTGGTTTATGGTTTGTGTATCATTTGTAATTTGAGTTGGTGTGAGTGGTATATATTAATTTATGGTTGTTGTGGGTTAATGGAATTGTGGTTAGTTTAGCTATTGTGTGTCCTGCCGTGGTTGATTATTAATTGTCTACTACTAGTGTTAACAACTATTTTGAGTGTTGTCGCTTTCTGAATATTTTCTTATTTGTTAACCTTATGAAAGTATTAATTTGGAGGAATTGATAATGTTGGATTATTAGTAAAATCCCTTAACTTTTAATCATTATACTCCCTACATGTATTGATAATGTTTGAGTTAAGAAAGTAAGATTATACTCTTTTATTGTTGATTCTTATTATATGAATGTATTCATATAATGTTTTTTGAATATGGGTATAACATATGTATTGAGTTAAGGGTTTGGAATATGGGTTTGCGTTTTTGGAGAAGTTGATTCATCTTGGTTATGGGGACATTATAGGAGTCATTGAATGAAGAGGAAGAAGGGATCTGAATTAGTGAGTTACTTGGTAAAATGAAACAGAGTATGATTCTTCATTTATGGTGTAGTTTAATTAATTAAAGAAGAACTTGTATGCGTGTAGGTGAGGACAAAACCCGTAAAAACTCGGGAGGATGATGGCTCTAAAAAGAAAGTTGTTCCTAAAAGGAAGAAGAAGTTGAAGGTTGACCCTGTATTTGATCAAGAGGATTACCAGATTCAAATAATGAAAAGTTTGATGAAAGTGCTTCTGGTGGTTGTAGTTCTAGTGACAATGGTTTTGGTGATGGTGAGTCAGATGATGTTGAGGAGGATGAGTCAGATGAGGTATAGGAGAAAGAACCAGCAAAAGAGGGGTGGGAGGATTTGCTTATAGAGTTGATGCAAGACAAAATTGGAAGTGGAAAACGGAAGGGAGGTCCTTCTGTCAAAAATAAAGGAAAGGAGAAGCAAAAGGTATGGGTAGTTGGTTCATTGGAAGTTTAGCTAAATTTGTAGATGATGAGTTTATGAAGGAATTAAAAGTGTAATGTTATGACCAAGTACAGAAGACGAAGGGAGAGAAGGTGATCGAGAAAAGGGTTGTGGTTAAAACCCAATCACGAAATACGCAGAAGGTAATATTTTAAATTACTTTTGTGGTAAAAACTATGCTATGGTTGTGGTTACTACTTGTTTTGAAATGATTGTATGATTTGTTTTTGAATTGGTTGTTGTCATGGGTAAACTATCATGAATATATAAAGTAGTGAAGATGTTGAAAGTGATTTTGGTTGATGAAACATAAAAGGTTTTTAAAATTTTACAGAAAAATGTATGGAATAAAATATAAATCCCAAATGTGTATGGTTTTCTTTGTGAGTGAGTTGTTTTTTGTTTTTGTGAACTGGTGTAGGCCCCTAAACTGAATGGTGTGAAGGCTTTCGGTAGTGTAGTAAAGTTGTTTGACCCTTCTAAGCAGAAGGTGGTCACAGAGATGGGTTTTGGAGGTTTGTGAAGTATACCACTTACACATTTGCCCCATAAATTTGCTTATTGGTTGTTGACAAGGGTTATGGGAGATGGTTCCTTAACTTTTAGAGATGAGTATGTGTTACCCTTGAGTGCTGTTAAGATCCAATGTGTACTTGATTGGGATTCCAATAGGTTCCAAGGTAATGCCTTCTAGTATTCTTGAGGATGATTTGGAGAAGCAGGTGAAGTCGAAGAGGAATACGGGGTTGTATGCCAAGGGAGATAGCATTTCACTAGCTAATGCGTTGTCTGCATTGATTCGGAAGGATGCAGAAGGAAATGTGGTGCCTCTGTCAAATGCGGAGAAGGGTAATTTCAAGGTAGCTTTTCTTGTAGTGACTCTGGGTTACATATTGTGTTCTACGACAAATACAAGTCACCTTGCAGTGAAGCTTATACTGGCGTTACTCCTGTATGATGAAACGGAGGAGTATGACTGGTGCACTTTTATATATATATGGATGTGTACTGCGGCACGGAATTTTCAAAAGAAATTTGCTCGAGAAGGATTTGTTGCTGGATCAAGTGGATGCATTTTGTTCGTGTTGGTAAGTATTGTGGGTTATTTAAAATGAGCTTTTAGTCCTTAATTGAATATGTAATTTGGTTTTCAATTCCAAAGGCCATGTTATCAATCGATTCAATTGTTGTTTACCTGTATGTAATTTACAGATTTTTTATCTTGATCCCCTTAGTCGCATCACTTTGTCGGGGTGTGAGACCGAGGTAGAAGGCATGGTGTCAGGAAAAAAGCAGTGAAACTGTTGCTGATGACAAAAAAGAATCTAGTGACTATGGATGGCTGTCGGTCAGTTCTATCTTCATAGTGTTGTGATTTCATATTCCAAATTCAAGTTTTATTTAGGTTGATATTTTGTGGATTTGTTTTGAAGTCGCTGGATATTGCTTATGGTGAAGAACATCCATTGGAGCCTTGGGATGTCTCATCGCATAGTATTGTTGTCAAACAGGTTATATAGCAGGTATATTAAAAACGTTTGTTATGTATATATGTTGTACGCATTTGATGGTTGATAATTGTAGGGATATGACTTTTACTTATGTGTTTGTAGAAAATCCTTCATGTTTGATTGCAAATTGTGACATTGTTTTTCCCTTTTTGTTTTGGTTCTTGTAAGGTGATTGAAACGATTACTCCAAAGCTGATGTCTGCTATAGACAGGAAGGCAGATGAAGTTTTTTAAAAGTTCCACGGGATGTTGTCTGTGTGTATTAAAACAACCAACGGTTCAAGAAAATCAAACTTGCCCAAGGAAATTGTGAAGCAAGTAGAAGATGATGGTAATGTGAAGGTGATTGATAAGATGCATGAAGTGGTGAACCCTACAACCAAAGATGAAGGAGTTGTAGTAGAAGTGATAGACAATTCTTTGATTGAGAAGGGTTTGCAAGCACAAGATGCGTTAGGTCTTGATAGTAATGGTTCTCAGGCATCTGATGATACAATTTCAGGTGAAGGGGATCTAGGTCGTGTGGTTGGAAAGATTGCGGTTGATCCATATTTTGCAGAGGTTGGGGTTGGGGTTGGGGTTGAGGCTGAGGGTGATCAAGGTGTTGGCTCGGAGTTCTATAGCTCTTCTGATACTGAAGTGGAAGATGAAAACATTGTCCCTGGACCTCAAATTGTTGTTGGTTTGGTTGGGATGAGGGGAACTACTGTGTTGGTTGATGCTTAGTGCAGTTTGCCAAATTATTCTTCATCTGAACAAGAAGATGAGTCTATTGGGAAGGGGGGCGGAACTGTGGATAAGAGGGTGGTGAAACCTACAGAAGTTGCCTTGTCAGCCATGTTCACCAATGTGTCAAACACCCGAAGGCATACAACGCTCGAGGAACATTTTCTCCAGTTTGTAAAGCGTTGGAAAGGCCTGAAGGATCCACTTAGGTAATTTAGTCATGTTTAATGAAGTTAATAATCTCTTGTGTTGCCTGCCTTTTCTCAATTGTTGGTGTTACTTATAAATTCTAATATGATTATTTGTATACTTGCTGTTATGTTGTTGGTTGATAGCCTTGGCACTGTCTTGATAAAATGTGACCACATGGAAGCCAACCAAAGGGATTTCTTTGAAGTAGTGCACCATAAATCGCGAGTGTCCAGTGATTATATAAGAATGGCTAGTGTGCTATACACCAAGCAATGGGAGACTAAAGACTTTGTGAATAGAAGCAAGCGTATTTTGCTTTACCTAAGCTTTGCAGTAAGAGTTTTTTGCTTCATCTTATCTTTGCTCTATCATATTTACATGCACAACATACATTCATGGTTATTACTTTTTTTTTCTTTTTTTTTATTGCACCGTAGATGCAACTTATGTTGAAAGCAGGAAATGAAGAACATGTTGCTAATAAGTATGTCAAAGTTCTACTAAGTTCTAACCTTTCGCAGATTTGAACGGTTCGTTACTTACTCTCATACTTTTATTACAATGTACGCTACTTTCAAATGTCTTTCAAGTACTTACTCTACATTGTGCTTATGGCATTGGCAATCTATTAGGTCTTTGTCCCAGTGCTTTAAGTTCCCAAGGATTCCCCAAATGACTCGCAGTGGTGGTGCTTAGCTTTGGACATGAAGAGTCGAAAGTTATGGATGATTGATTCTATGTACCCTGACTCGTTCACCATGCATGCCCCAGTGTTTAGTCTTCTGGTGTTAATTTATATGCTTGTCATGTTAATAAACTAAACGAACATGTTAGTTAGTGGGAACCATTTGGTTATGTGTAATTTGTTTGTGAAATCCACAGGTTAGTAGTATCGATGTCCTTTTTCAAATGAGTGACTCAGAATGGAAAACCGGTCAGCTAAAATCTTGGACAAGATGCACTGTTGAGATCTTAGAGCCAAGGGATAAGTAGGCACTTCTGTCTTTATTTGGTTAAAGTGCAAACGTTTTGTAATTTTTGGGTTGATGGTGGTCCTCTAATGTGCAGCTCATATTGTGGTGTCCTGATGCTGGCTTGTATCTAGTTCTTTTCTCGAAGATTCACTAGTAGGTTCAGTGTGGTAAGTGGTCAAAAAATATGTTTTGTGTATGAAGTTCTCTGAAGAGGTAATTTACAGTGTTTGCTCATAAATTTATAGGGGAAGATTCCTAATGCTCGGAAGAATTTGTTTTTGGACGATGTGCTGTGTGATTTGAACGAACTGAAAGATGGTTTGGGCAATTTGATTCCAGGTTCTAAGAAAACAACGCGAAATCATTGATGATTTATGTCAATGGCCTTAATATGATGGTTTCTTTTTTTTGGGTTGAACTGTGGTGGTTGTAAGTAGTTTGTAATCAACATGTTAATACTTTTATTCCAACGTAATCTTCCATTAGGTGAATCGTTAAAAACCCATTTTTTGGAAATCGAAACAGATCCGACCTAATTTTTTCTAACCCGAAACTGAACTGAACCGAATTTGTGCGAATCGTTACTAACTCGAACCGTTATCAAGTCAAACTGTTACAACCCGAAACTGACAACAATTGGAACCGATTACTTCTGAACCCGATAATAACCAGACCCATTTTTAACCGAAAATCGTTTAAACCCGGCAAAAATCTGATAAACCTGAATCGGTCCAACTTGTAACCCGTTGTGATCGAACCATTTATAACCTGTAACTCGTTGGGACCGAACCGTTTCCAAACTATAACCCGTTGAGACCGAATTGTTTACGACCCGTAACCTGTTGAGATTGAACCGTTTACGACCGGTAACCTGTTATGACTGAGTCGTTTACAACCCGTAACCCTTGTTTATGATCAGATCCTCTTCAACCCACTACTCGGTAAACCTATCTTATTTATGACTTAACTTGATTATAACATGACCCGTTCCTACCCATTATCTGACTAACTCGATTCGATAATGATCCGACTAGATTTTAACCCAATATGATTTGGACTGAAACCCGCTTTAAATTGGGTAAACCCATTTCAAACCTACCAAGTTCAATCCAAACCGTTTATGACAAGAACCGATAATGATCGGACCCGATTTCACCCGATCTGTTTTGAACAGAAACTCATTTTCAAACCGACCCAGTTTAACCCAAACTGATTATGACCCAAACCGATTACAACCCGACCCGATTAGGATCCGAACTGTTTTGAACCGAAACCCGCTTTAAACTGGCTAAACCCGTTTTCAAACCGACCCGGTTCAACCCAAACTGATTATGACCTGAACCAACTACAACCCGATCGGATTAGGACCCGATCCGAATAGAAATCGTAATAAAATATAAAAAAATAAAATAAAAACAAACAAACCGAACTGACCCGATGTTTTTCAAAACCGACCCGCTAATCATTTCAACTCGTTATAACCCGAAACTGATAAACCCAACCCAAACCCGAACTGTTTACCCAAATTGACACCCCTATTCCTTGCACACAAGAGTCAAAAGAGCACATACTACATACTAAGGTGGCAACTGACAAGTCATGCGCTTATCCTTTTTTATATAAATAGTGTTGAGACTATTATACCTTCAAATATTTATTTACGTATTTACCCCTTTTAAAAGTATGACCACACTTTATGAATAGTGTTTAGACGATTATGTCTCTAATATATTTATTTACATATTTTCCCTCATTAATGTTATACCCCTAAAAATATTTTCTTACATATTTTCCCTAATTAATGCTAATAATAACTCCAACCGAAAGAACTTCCGGACATGGCTAGCTATGCGTGCACATGGAGCACGCTAGCCGCCCTAGCTAGTTAAAAGTAAAATTTTGAGTAAGCGCAACATATATCTGAGGTAGGCGCATGGTGAAATTTCTAAGGTACAGGCGGATGTACCCTATTTGGTACATTCTGCTGAAATTTCTGTTTAAATATTACTTGTGTTCTTTTTTATATCTCATATGTTCCTTTTGAATATCTGTCACTCCATCCGTTTCATAATAATCGCAACATTTTCCTTTTTCATCTGTTTCATAATAATTGCAACACTTCCTTATTTGATAAGGACCCTATTAAATTTTGAGATAATATGAAATGGGTCTGGACAACTCGAACAAGGAGGGAGTTTGGTCCACAAACAAGGCTAAGGAGGTTCCATACTAAAACCAATTCAATTGGCAATAGTAGGAGTAACGCTTCTACCTTATAAAGCGGAACCTTCTTTTCTCTTTCTCCAATGTGGGACACTCACAAGTGGGCTACAATGGGTTTCAACACTCCATCTCACTTGTGAGTGTCCTTAGAATTAGAGCACACTAGAAGGTACAATATAATCCTCATTGGGAATGAACATCGAATAAAGGCCCTTTAACTAGTGGCTTGACAAATGCCTAGTTATGAACGGCTCAACAAACCTGGGCTCTGATACTTGTTAAGTTTTTGAGATAATATAAATTGGGTCTGGGTAACCCGAACAAGGATGAGGAGAGTTTGGTCCACAAACAAGGCTAAGGAGATTCCATACTAAAATCAATTGGCAATAGTCGTAGGAGTAACCCCTTTACCTTATAAATTGGACCTTCTCTTCTCTTTCTCTAATGTGGGACACTCACAAGTGGGCTAAAATGGGTTTCAACAAACCCACAACTATTTTATTATTTCTCTCTCTTACAATTCTACTTATACTACTTTATTATTTCTCTCTCATAGTAACAATTAAATATATCCTCACTAAAAAAAATAAAAAAAAAAAAAATCCTCACTAAACTATACGGTTTTATACATTAAAAAAAATTCTCCTTTTGCTTCCCACCCTATAATTTTCTTAAAAGCTTGTGACAACCCTACTGTTCGGGCCGATTATTACGAAACGGAGGGAGTAAGTTCTTTTAAATGTTTTGTTTAAATATTACTTATGTTCCTTTTGTATATCTCTTATGTGTTAGGTTTTGCGATGTCCGGCACCGCGCGGAAACAAAACCCGATAACCGGATCACATGCATAATAATTACAACATTAACAAAATCACGCAAAAAAACACAAACACAAAAGAAGAGAGAGAAGAGAGAGAAAGGATACTCACCCTAGAAGCGTGCTTCGCTCAACCGATGAGCTCAGACTTAAAAGCTTCAAGTTCCGCAAGTGCGAGAACCTTCGACGGCTCACACCCTCGCTACCAAACCGTAATCGGCCCCTACCTCGTATCTTAGACGGGGCTAGACCAAAAATAACTTAGAGTTTACGAACTAAGGTTTTCTCGTTTTTGGAGATCCTTTAGAGTTCACCAACTCAAGTGAAATTTCCAATATCGATTGATGGGTATTTACAGGGAAATGTTTCCAAGATTTCCCATCATCTTTTAATGTGGGATAGTTGGTAAAGTGAGAAAATCCATGAATTAATTGTCGATCTAAGGGAGGGGTTAGATAAGGACCACAAACCCTCCCCTTGGAGAGTAAGCTAGCCTCAACAACCCCATGTGCATGGCATGCCCCTAGCCTTGGGCCTCAAGGTATGGTGTGCTAGCAGCCATGGCCTTCGGCTGGGCCTGCCTCACAAGCTCAGCTCGCTGCTGGTGCTTGCGCCATTGCGGGCTGGCCTCGTTGGCTAGCAGCGCACACAAGCGTGCTGGCCCAGCAGCGTTGCCGAACGCAACGGCGTGCTGGCCTAGCACACTTGTTGTGTGCTTGCGAGCTGGTGCTGCTAGCTAGCCTACTCGGCCACCTTGCCAAGCCAGCGCACATGTGTGTTGCTGGGCTTGCGGCCAAGGCAAGAACATGGCTAGCAACCTTGCTAGCCTAGCGCGCTTAGTCTTCGCTTGGCTAGGCCAATGCGAGGCTAGGTCTTTGCGCGTTGACTTGTTATTTGACTTATTTTCTTGTCTTCTTGATTTGTTGAATTGACTCGACGTTCGACACTCGGTTTTGACGCTCTAAGCTCGGAATCCGATGTCTTAGTTCGTAAAATCTATATCAACTTATTTAATCCTCCGAATTGATTTGTCGCTTCGGCTCGGTTACACGATTGGGTGTGACCCGAAGGATTCAGTCAAGATTAAGCTGTAATATTAATTATACATTAATATTACTGATGGAAGCGGCCTCCAACTAGGCATTCCGATCACTTGACCTCACTGAAATAATTAGCTTTCTAATTAATTCTGAACCCTCTATTGGAATAATACACTTGTTCGAAGGACACCATACCTTTCATTATGTTCTTTCACATGTTCTGTTTAAATATTATTTATGCTCTTTTTTGTATATCTCTTACTCCCTCCGTGTTTAAATAAATGAAACATTTTAACTTTCACGGAGTTTTAGAAAGGTTAGTTGAATTTATTAAAATACAAGTAGTGGGGTATAAGTTGAGGAGAGAGAAGAGAGTAAGAGGTTTTGTGGGGACCATTAGTTAGTAGAATGTTATTAAATAATGGAGAGAATATTATTCAAAATAGAGAGAAGTTAATAAAAAAAAGAAACTTTTCATTTATTTAAACACGGCCGGAAAAAAAAAATGTTTCATTTATTTAAACACGAAGGGAGTATGTTATTTTGTTATATACCTTATATTATTTTGTATTATCCCTTATGTAGTTATTCTAAGTTTTTGTTCAATTTGTTAGTCTTGTACTATATGTGTTTTAGCGCCGAGGTTCTTTGAATTTAGCCCTTATATTTTTTTTTTTAATTTGGCTATTATTTCTTTGAGGTATTGAGATACACATAATTTTGTTTTAGCATGTGTCATTCTTAAATAAGTTTTTAGCGTCATTTTTAATTATTATAATATAAATTTTGAATGTTATTAACTAGTTCAATGTTTTTTTAAGTATTATATACCCACCATGATGTACAGAAAAAAAATTTAAAGAACATTTCACAATAAGAAATAACAATGTGACAATAAAAGTACATTACACTTACAGTCAAAGAACATAGATATTTAAAATATTTTATCAAAAGATTTGATAAAGATCATTATTTGATATAATAATAGACATATGGAAAGAACATAGTGTTAATAGCTAATTGTACATTACATACAAATATATAAAGTACATCATGTTTTCTGATAAATAAAGAACATTATTTAATCATATAAAGAACATTACAAGGAATACACACGACAATCATTAAAACGTACAAAACATATTATAATTAAATATAAAATAACTATAATATTAATAAACATGATATTATTCTGTAATGAACATTATTTAAATTTAACGAACATGATCCAAAGACAAAATTTTGAACAATGAACAATTAGATTTTAAATTTTGAATTTTGAAAATGAAATCTTGAATTATTAGTAGAAGAAAATAATTTTTAGAGAGAAAATTATTCAGTGTAATTGAATTTTAAAAAAAATATTTACATTAAATGCGGGGTAAGAAGATATACTCCGTATTAATTATCTTTTACTAATTTAAAATAGCCGATAAAATTTTTTCGTATTTTTTTCACTCTAGCTATATGTTCATTAATTTTTTCACCTTTTTGTAGTATGTTTTTTCCATTATTTTAACTAACGAATGAACCATGCTCATGGTACATCCGCCTATACGAAAAAGACATTAGGCGCATAGATATAACGGTAATTTCATGCACATATTTTCACTATCACATTACTAAGGAACCGCATTTACAATAATAAAAAACATACTTTATATAAAGACAAAAAAGAAAATTTGGAGAAAATCAAAGACGTACTATAATACGGATAATTTCGGGAATTTTGCATTAGTTGTTGTATCTCGGAGCCACTCATTCCACAATAGGCTACACATAAGATACAAGATCTCAAACAAAGGAACTAAACATAAATTATACAAAGAGATCCTATTTAATTTAAGGGTCAATTAGCATGGCATCTAAATAGGCGATGTAGCTACAACATTGACCAATCATAAGAAAAATAAAAATAAAAATAAAAATAAATACAGTAAATCAAGGGTGATGATTGGATCATCGGAAGTTGACTTTGGCTTGGTAAGTCATGCCTACACTCCAATAAGGTGGGACAACATTGTAAGCAACAATTGTCTCACGAGTGGAGTAAGATTGGATTTTGAAAGAAAGACATTGACCTCCTAATTGACCAAAAGCTTGGTATGAAGCTCCCCAATTGTGGCTCATGCTAATCCATCCGGTTTTAGATCCTTTCACCCACATTTTGGCAATGTCACCGGCACCACCTACGTTCATTACCGTTGTTAGCAACCAGTAGTTGTTCCCTTGGAAGCTAAATTTTATCCCTCCCTTTTTCGCGCATGGGACCCTGCTTGGTCACCAATAAATATAAAAATAACTAAATTTAATTTTTATTGATTAATAACAAGTTTTGACCAAATTATCGACTTAAGCCAGACTTGTAGTTGTACAAAAAAAAAGCCTTAAAAGACTATTTTAAATTAAAATTTTGTTATCTTTATATACGAAAAATACTATTAATGAGCTTGTCGAAGGATAGTTTATTACCTCCGGTATTGGACTGGAACGATGCCAGCCTTCCAAAAGGCAAGTTTCTTAAAGGCAGGCATGGAGAGGTCAAAATGAGCTCTAGGAGGGTTACACCAGCCACCGGCGTTACTATCTTGAGCCCAGTTTGGAGGGCATAGATTTGTGGCAGTGATAGTAATGGAAGTCGGGCTGTGCCCATGACCCCTATTGCACCATTTTGATCCGACACACATTATTTGATAGCAACTACCGCAACCATATCCATTATTGAACAATATTGTGCTTAATGCAGCTGTATTTGTACCATACCCATTGTTGAACAAATTTCCATATCCACATGCTCCTCCTGTAAATAGGAAAAAAAAAAAATCAATATTTCATACATTGTAGTAAAAAAATGATTTCTTACTTCACTAGCTAGCTTAGGGTGTGTACAAAGAGAAGCATTAGGCTCGATCATGCATATAATTAGATTATTAGTTGTATTTTGTACCCAAAAAGAGAGCCCATGTATACACGCACATCTATTTATTGCATGTATACGAGTGTACTATAAAGTTGCATGACCCAAAAAGTAAAATGTAATCTCCAAGATGGAAATAAAAAGAACCATTCGTATCTCGTATAAAGTTAATATTATACAATCTCATTAGCATAATAAAAAATAAATAAATAAATAAATAAATAAAGGGGTTATGTGCTATGTATGAAGTGCATGTTATATAAATAAAGAAAAACAACAATAATTTAATTTGTTTACCCATGGTTTCAGAGGCACTGTCATCACCATAAAAAGTTGCATGAGCGTATTTCCATTTGCTTGGCTTGAAATGAGAAGCATATCCATTTGACAATGTCACCATTCCTAATACTACCACTACAGAAAACAACAGACTAAATCGCCTCGATTTTTGCAAAAGAGAAGCCATAATTCTGATAAATAAGTTGTACTTTGGGATTACAAAATAAGAGATATTAGAGTTTTGAATGATTTAGAGAATAACTATGCATGGTTTATATAGTGTTTCAAAACGAATAGGAATGTACGTAACTAAAACTTAGTGACTCCCACGAATAGTTCAAGGCAGAATAATTGGATATGCATGCACAAAATTAAATCTTATAGCGTCCAAAAACAAATGTTCAATGTTTTTGCTGATGGAATATCAAAGACATCTATCCGTAACGTGCTTACAAGTTATACTACACTTTTATGTAGTTATTATCTGATACGAAGTACGACAAAATTTGGTAGGATGAAAATTATTTTATTTATAATGAATGGATGTAGTATGTAGATTCATATATTTATTTGATTGTTGTTAAGAATATGTGCAACATGCACAACGTATTTAACTATATACTATAATTAAGGTTTAACTACCACATTTTTTTATTTAGTCATGCACGTAGCCTATCACCATCTCCTAGTCAAATATCCTGTTTGAAACTTTGAATAGATCAAAAACATCTGAGTTTACACTTATGTACTAGACCATTTCGAGCCAACCCACACGCTTGATTAGAATTGGACTATATAGCATATATCATGCAATTTATGTATGTTGTGATCGTGTTTTTTTTGTGTCAAAATAAACGATGCTGCATTGACTTGGGTTTATCAAGGAGGTTTTTATTCTCTTCAACTTATTCAAATATTTCCTCCGTCTCTAAGAAACATTCCTTTTTAACTTTGCACAATTTTTAGACTATTAATATTTTTAATTATGTATTAGCAAATAAAAAAAAATAGTAATTGATAATTTGATATTATAAAACTACATTTCTACATATTGAAATAAATCTAGCAATATCTCACATGCTATAGTTTTTAAAAATATAATAATGAGAATTTTATTTGTCAAAGTTTTTAAAGTTAGTTTGACCATCAAAAATAAAACAAAAACGTCATTTTAGGATGTACAAAAGGGGTAATTTTTAGTAAAAATAAATAAAATTTCATAAACATATGGCCTAAAACGTGCAAAAAAAATTAGCAGAACTAATACAAGATCCCAAACATAAATTAAGTTCAACAAAAATTTACTATTCCGTCAGTAACCGGTAACTCCATTTATCTAACTATATTTTTAAATTGTTTGAACTTATGAATTATCCCTACAAAAATAAGGGTTTGACCTTAATAAAAGAGTTTCCATAGTCAATGAATGTTTGAAGTCATATTATTACATCCCTCCTCCTTGTTCCTCCTTCCAAAACAAAGGTACATGGTGCATTGATTTTCTTACAAAGGAATTGTCTAACAAACCAATTTGCAAAATAATTAATGTAAAACCTAAATTTGACGAGGGTAGAGGTCGAGGAATCTAAAAGTTACTCCATAAATATTTGGAAATTTTGATTTTTACCACCTTCAAATAACGAATTTATTGAATTTACCACCTCCAAAAAAAAAAAAGATTTACTTTACCACCTCATAAAAAAATTAAACATCAGTTTTCCCACCTAAGCCTAACTCCGGTGACGGAAACCGCCAGTGGGGCCCGCCATAACAGCTAGTTTTTGAAATTATCCCCAAATTCTCCCGATTTCCCTTTGATTTAAACCTAACTTCTTCATTTCTACATCTATTTCGTGAAGATTGAAGTTTTTTTTTGCCATTTTCTTCACAAATTCTGATTTTGGGTGATCCTTAACAATCCCACATCCTCAAATTATCAAATTATTGAAAATTGTACTCGGTCCTGAATCAATTGAACTGTTCGACGGCAAACAGCGAAAAGGTAAGCAATTTTCATGAATTTTGTTGTAATTTTTTGCAATTGTTTGCGTGATTATGTTACAATTGCTAAGTATAATTGAAATTGCATGTTTTATGTTATTAATTCAACCCCAATTTCATATTGTAAATAATTAGGGTTCATGTAAGTGTAAATTAATTTGGGGGTTTTTGATATTTCAATTGGGCAGTAAAATTAGGGTTAGATTATGGTAATTGTGTTCAAATACAATTAACTTCAATGAAAATTTGGCAGTAGAAATGGTCACACTAACTCCGAATTACGAGAACAATTTTTTTTCCTGAAGTCGAATCTATTCTTCGTCGCCGTTTGTTTTCTGAAACCTCTGTCATATAACAATCAGGTTCAGGAAACAGAAATTGAAGCAGCTCAGGTATGAGTAATTGTTGTTGCTCATCCACGGATTCGGTATTTATAAGATCAAACACGTTTTTTTTTTCAATCCTTAAGCCATTAAGGATACAAATCAGACCAAAAACCAAGCTTTAAGCAAATTATAAGATGAACTTTGGCTCATTTACTACCCAAATTAAGGATTTGTGAAGAAAATCGCAAAAAGAAAAACTTCAATCTTCAACAATTTGATGTGGAAATGAAGAAGGTTGTTTAAATAGGAGGAAAATCGAGAGAATTTGGGGATAATTTCAAAAACTAGCCGTTATGGCGGGCCCCACTGGCGGTTTCCGTCACCAGAGTTAGGCTTAGGTGGGAAAACTGATGTTTAATTTTTTTTATAAGGTGGTAAAGTAAATCTTTTTTTTTTTGGAGGTGGTAAATTCAATAAAGTCGTTATTTGTAGGTGGTAAAAATCAAAATTTCCTAAATATTTTAAAGAGCTTGTAGCATTTAGTTAATGCATATTTGATATAGCTAGGTAAGCTACAAGGTATTATAGTTTACTATTGAAGATTTGAAGATGCTCTAATAAAAATTTAAAATTGTGCAATAATAATGCATCATCAAAGATAATTAGTTATTCTTGAAAGTTGCATAACTTAATATGACTTCGTTTTCGTTTTCCTTTTACCGTGGTAAGCCCTACATGTCTTACAAACATTTGTTTCAGAAATTTGTTCAATTATATACAAGTTGCAAACAAGGGTTTAATTTAATTACTAGTTTTAAAATGGAGGGTTGGCATAATTATTTGTGAATTAAGCTTGTGTTCCATTAATTAAAATAAAGTGTGATTGATTGTCTATAACTCGAGTGAATTGTGAGCACCCAAATAAATTATAGTAATTCAAAACTTGACTCGTTACTTAAATTAGTTTAAAACTAAACAAGTACGAATAATTAATACTAAAATAACAATCGCTGACATTATCTCTTTTCCCAAATTGTATATGTGTCAGCTTCTCCTTCAATTTTTTCCCGCCCAAATCTTTTTTTTTTTTTTTTTTTGGGTAAAGCTAAATATTGATTGCAAGGTAATTTTATACAAATTCTTAAATGAACCTGGTTTACACTAATTTATTGTGGACCACTAACATTAGAGAGACTATAGTTGTTTTATTAATTAAAAAAAGGGTTACTTTATTAAAATAAAGGTTATTACGTTGAAATAAAAGTCATTGTGGTATTATAAAGACTATAAGAGGGTTTTTTTTTTATGAAATTTTAATTTTTATATATTGGTCAATATGAATAATGAAGGTTACTGTGTTAAAATTAGGCCTACTATGTTCAACAAAAGTGTCACTATGTTCAATATAACGTCAGTTACGTGTGTATAAACCTCATGTCCACAATAATATTATTGTGAACCAGGTCCACGCAAGTTTTTTCCGTAATTTTATATAGTACATTATCCTAAGGTACACATAGCTAATCTTAAGGAAAGTAAATATTAACCTTTATATATGTGATTACTCCGTCTTATTACAATTAAAGTCCACTAAATTTTGTTGTAGACATGAATTTTCTTTTGTTTATATTATTTTAATTTTTGTAGTTTGGTTTATGTTTATATAAAGATTTTAATTTACATATTTTGAGTGATAAATTGATATTATGACTTGAAAATATACACAATCATAAATTCTTTTTATTATATTCGTGCAGTGCACGGGAGCTAATCTAATCTCTAGTGATAATAATATGATGCATACCGACACATCTATGATTACTACATGCACATTGAAAAATGTACATGGATACATGATTGACCTAGGATTCTAAAAAGACTCCTAAAAAATTGTATATAGCAAAAATTTACTTAATTGCCCTCATTAATGTTAATTACGTCATTTTTAACCCTAAAAACATTTGTTTACATCGCTAGAGGTGTCAGTTCGGGTAAACAGTTCAATTTCGGGTTGGGTTTATCGATTTCAGGTTATAATGGGTTGAATGCTTAGCGGATTGGTTTGGGTCGGTTTTGAAAATTATTGGGTCAGTTCGGTTTGGTTTTTTTTTATATTATGGTTTCTATTCGGGTCGGGTCCTAATCAAGTCAAGTTATAATCGGTTCGGGTCATAATTAGTTTGGGTTGAACCAGGTCAGTTTGAAAAAAGGTTTAGCCACTTTAAAGCGGGTTTTGGTTCAAAATAGTTTGGATCCTAATCGGATCGAAATGTAATCGGTTCGGGTCATAATCAGTTTGGGTTAAATTGGGTCGGTTTGAAAATGGGTTTTGGTTCAATACAGATCGGGTGAAATCGGGTCGGGTCATTATTGGTTTAGGTCATAATCGATTTGGATTGAATTGGGTCGGTTTGAAAGCGGGTTTACCCAATTTGAAACGGATTTAGATTCAAATCATATCGGGTTAACATCGAGTCGGATCATTATCGAATTGGGTTAATCAGATAATGGGTAGGAATGGATCAGGTTATAATTGAATTAAGTCTTAAATAAGTTGGGTTTATCAAGAAGTGGGTTGAAACAAATTAGATCATAAACATATTGGGTTACAGATTGTAAGCGGCTCAGTCATAATGGGTTACGGGTTGTAAATGGTTCGATCTCAATGGGCTACGGGTTGAAAACGGTTCGGTTATAACGGGTTACAAGTTATAAACAGTTCGATCACAACGGGTTACGGGTTGGATCGATTTAGATTTATCTGATTTCTGCTGGTTTAAACGGTTTTTGGTTTAAAAGGTCGGGTTACTATCAAGTTCGGACATAATCGGTTTAGGTTGGAAAAAATTGGCCCGGATTGGTCTTTGGTTTTCAAAAGTCAGGTTTTCAAGGTTCGAGTTTTTTTCGGATCGATTCGAAATAGTCAGATTTAACGGTTTGTGTTAGAAACTGACAGTTCTAATTTTCACTCATTAATACTGCTTGTGACATACTTCGAAAGGGAAAGAACCCCGAACATGACTAGCTATGACAGTAGTATGAATCAACCACTCTAGCAAGCTAAAAAACCCAACCTAATTCACATCATTCCCACGGTCCCACCCCCACGCGAACGAAGTCCTCCGTATCGCACAAAACAGGAGGTCGCCCAGTCAGTGAAGACTGAACAAACCAAAACTCGACCCTCGACAAAGCAGTAGCAATGGAGAGAAAAAGAAGCAGAGAGGAGAGAGAAAGAGTTACCGGAGGTGCCGGAGACCCACCTCCCAGAAACTCCGGCCGCCCTCTTCCACCGCCACCCCCTCTCCCTTCTCGAGGCTTTCCTGGGCCCCCTCCTCAGCGCGCCCGTTTCCAGCCCGTCGACCGCGAAAAGGTCATTCCTTGTCCTATCTTCTTTTTTTTCTGCTGATTCTTGGATCAATTCTTGCTATTCTCAACTTTTATTGGCCCCAATATTATTTTTATTGTTCTTGATTTGGAAATTTGGGATTTAGGGTTTAGGGTTTAGAGTAGGGTTTTCTGTTTGTTTGTCCTCGTTTGTCAGGGTTTGCTTGATAATTGAAGATTATCTACGCATAATTGGATTTATAGATGTAATTTGGTACTGAGTTAAGGTTATCATTTCAAGAGATTTTTTGATAATTTTGAGCTATTAGTGTTTTAGAGTAAAAGTCCTATTTTATGCTTTAGTAGAAATCACTCAGGATGCAATTAGCTTGATTTAATTCACAGGAAGTGTGTAATCATTATATTCTCTGCCTATTAGGTAGCCGAAGGCATTATTTGTTCGTATTTGAGTGAAAGTGGCATCGTCTGACCCCCTATATGCCAAACACCCTACTGGAGTATTGGGTAGTAGTTGAGCATAGAATTGCAGTGACTTGATTGAGATTACGAGTTTCTAGATATTACGAGTTTCTAGATATTACTAACTTAGAGAATGAAAGTGTGAAGGGATTAAGGTGGCCTTTCTTGCCTTAGTGTTTGAAATTATGCTTAACATCTTTACATTCTTGGATGTGGTTCACATATATCAATATATGAGATGTTCCTGTGGCAGTCAGTTGTCGTGATTTAAGTTTGGTGACGGGATTGGGGTTTGATAGTCTTTTTTACCTTTAATTTTGGGTATGTTCGGAAGCGTCATTATGTAGTGGTGCCACCAAAATTGGGGATGGTTTTATTAAATTTTGGGCATATTCGATTCAGAAATATGGGAATGCAAGCTTTTCTTAAAGTCTGTTGAGGAGCCTTTGATAGAAATTGGAAAGAAGCTTTTCCTAATCATTTTGGACAATTCATACATTCTCCTTATCTATTATGTTGAGGATTAGAGGCTATTGAGGAACTATAGTCATAACATTGCGTATTTAGTACTTTTTTTATGCTAATTTGCCGTAGCATAGCACATTGTAGCTACGGCAATAAGTGTGATGTCACTTGATGTGTAAGAGTTGAGCAAGTGTATCAATGGAAGTGCAATTTATTAATGTTGACAGATTTGATTCAATTAGAATTCTGTTCCTGCTGCATTGTACTTGAACCAGTGAGATTTAGAGTCGAAATCTGTATATCTCAATCTTTCTTACTCTGTTGATATGTGAGTATGACATAGTAAACATTGTGGAAATTGCCAATAGCTATTTACTTTATCCTTCACGTTCTATCATAAGCCTACTTTAAAATTATCAAGTTTTGTCTATGTTAGGCTTCCTGAATTATTGTATGCCTTTCGTGGAAGATTTGGACTGCAAATTGATATAACCTTTTGGTTGTGCTTTATTTAATTTCTCTTGCTCTCCAGGAAAATGTGTTGAAACTTGAAATGTAACCCTAACTTTAGTATGATTTTGTTGCGTGCTTTTGCTTTTTCATGTGATTTCGAAGAGCTACTAAACTGACTTTCTGTTCTTTTGATTATGCAGACTTGTCCATTGTTGCTTCGGGTTTTCACTAAGGTTAGTGATCATCCTTTAGGCTGTAGTTTGCAATGATCCTGGCTTATGTCAGCTATCTATTTCTGTTTACTTGTTATATAGTATCCCTGTTATCATTCTGCATTCTTATTATAGAACACTATTTTCTTGATACAATGTTGCACGGGGTTAGGGATTTCCTATATTTGTGAAACTGCTAAATCCTGAAACTTTCAATGAAGTGACTACTCTGATTTGTTATTAATTGTTTTTTTAGGTTAGATGTTAACTTATAAGAGGTTGATGACTTATATCATTTTAAAAGTGCTGGCTCATGCTTAAATTTGAGATTCACGAGTAGTTTAGAATATATACTATATAGTCTATAGACTTTTGAGTGTTGAAATGAAAATTTCATTGGATGATAAAATGGGAGAGAAATTGAAAGAATTATCTTACTCATTGGTGGAAATGCTATATGAATCTAGACAATACTTATCTGCTTGGTATAAGATTTTAGTGACTGCTAATCCTATCATTTTAGTACATCTTATTGAAGTACTGGATTTCTAAGAAGTTCTGTATTTCTAAAGATGTGTCTTGTCCTTGTTGTAAATTTGAGGTTTCCCTAGGTGCTTAAGATCATCTCGAGAAAAAAGAAATCTGGGACATATCAATGACCTTCATGTTGTCAGTTGTAATGTATTAAAAGAAGCTGGTACTGGAATTATTGAATTCTTTATGGAAGAGTAAATGATATTATATGCTGGCAGTGCCGCAAATGAATAGTTGTTGCAGCATATTCCTGTGAGTCTATCGCTCCAAAAATCTTATTTCTCCATGGCCATATGATATTGATGAGCAGATGTTAATGATATTGCTAAAATATACTGCTGTACTCTAGTATTTATTTCCTGGTTTGTCTAACTGATTTATATGGCAGTTAAGCTGAATTTCAATGTGATTTCTGTTCTTATAGATTGGAGGTCACCATACCCAAGAAGATTTTTCAGTGAGAGGCAAGGAACCCAAGGATGAGGTTCAAATATATACTTGGATGGATGCTACGCTTCGAGAGTTGACTGATCTTGTATGTTTGCCAACATTTGTTTAATACTTCATATTTGTCATTTTATCTTTTACCTCCCCTCACTTGTATCCATAGGTTTCATGTGTGATACTGATTGTTATAACCTTTAGGTGAAGGAAGTATCTCCAGCTGCCCGAAGACGAGATGCAAAATTGTCGTTTGCAGTTGTATATCCTGATAAAAATGGGCGTATGCAAGTAAAAAAGGTATCTTTTGCATTCTCTAGATTGTCTATAACTAGTCTCTCAATGCTTCCAGACTTCTCAATTGTCCTTTATAGAGCTGTCTCTATAAAGTGGGACATCAGTTCCTGTTTACAATGTGTGTGTATCTACAATAGAAAGTATTTCATCAACACAAATAGACCTGCAAGAACCACCGCGCCACACCACACCTCTCTCCCCTGGGCCAAAAAAAAAAAAAAAAAAGAAATAAAAGTAAATTAATTAAATTAAGGTGCTAGGATTTACCTCCGTCCTTGTGGAAATTTGACATGTCAGTAAAATATGAAAGTACTCTTGAGTTTGATTAAGTTTAACAGCATATCTCAACATTGTTTAGGTGGGTGAAACATTCTCGAATGGAAATAAGAGACGCTTAGATGACAACAAAGCCTTGGCTGAAATATACTTCCAGGTAACATTTGATTATGATGCTATCCTTAGCATTACATTTTCTCAGTCTATCATGGATCAAAAGCCTCAATTGTTTCAATATAGTTATCTTCTCCTCGGAATATTTGTTGAATGTTTATTATATTTTGTAGATTGGAGATTACTTGGATGTATCAATCGAGTAGATCAGGGATGGCTGCATCTGATGGCTGCATATGCAATGTTACCGAGGCATAGATGTTCTCAGCCAGTGTACAACTAGTTCTTTATGCATGGTTGAGTTGTGGTTATGCCCGAAAATTGGCATAACAGCATTGCATCAATCATTGCTTAAGTTGTCTTCTTGTATTCAAATTTTAATGTTAGTATGAACAGTAGTATCAAACTCTTATCAATTTTCTTTATAGCATTCAAAAGATGCCTAAATGATGTTGCTGATAAGAGCAAATGCCTCAATTCGCTTCTAACTGTATCCATTTGCTCAATTTCTTATCATTCTGCCTTGGCTTGTGCCGTGAATTCATGTACAATATCAGAGAACATTTACATAAACATATAATTGAGTTGGTGTTTCACTCGAATCCAATGGTTCAAGAGCCTGTATAAGAATTACATACAGAGAATATTCACTTTTACTCTGCCTCTAGTATGCAGGAAGCTTACTGTAATATACATAGGTTACCGAAATTTATTTGTGAACTATTACACCCTACAAATTTGCGACAAGCAGTTCAGAAGAGCCTGTTGATCTTAACCATTCCAATCTTCAAAGAAATACATATTACTGGTATAACATAAGTTCCTTACATTTCCATTTTCAGCTGAACATGCACTTCAATAGCTTGCACAAAGTCTGCAAAAAGCGGCCATCTTCCAAAAGATTATGATTTTATTAATACGAATCATCTATTTTGGCATGAATAATCAGAAATTTTAATCATTTTATTTATTCAAATATTCCCAAGTTTTAGAGGTATATTTTCGAAAAAGATTAAGTGCTTTTTTATATTTTCCTATCTATGTTGGGTCTTATGTATATTCCCTTCGTTCTTTTTTATTGATTACGCTTTGACAATTACTTTCTCACAAAAATATTCTAAACGTAACCAACAAATAGGAACGGAGGAAGTACTATATTAAAAAGAAAAATAACAATTTAAAAGAATTCAAACTGTTTCAATTTGCAGTACTCATAAAACCAAGGATCATGACAAACATGGGTTCATTCATGTCAATCACTTTTTTTTTTTTTTTAAATTTAATTTAACACATTATTGTAACTAGCCAAACAGGTGAGCAACTCTAAAACTTCAGCAGACTTATATCAGATGGTTTGGCAGGGGAATTTGCACTTTGTAGGCAGTTTTAATGTGTGTACCTTCTCCTTAAGCTTGGCTTCCTTCTGGTATTGTCAATAGGCGCTTTTTTGAATCGAATTCTAATTCCGTGCTACAGCTGCAGAAGATGTTTCATAATGATTATTATTCAGGAAAGAATATGATTCTTATGTTCCAAGCAAGTTTTAGCAGTAGAATTTTTCTTACTTTGAGCATTTCACATTGTTGGTGGCGCCACCACTGGAAACCGAAAGAATAGTCCCAAAGAAGGAGAGGTTCTCTGTACCACAGTTAGGACAAGTACCCTAGCAGATGGTAACAGTGTTACACACACGATTTGGCACACATAAATCAGATTAGTATGATTTAAATTCGCAGAGCATTACCTTCAAAATGAGGAAATCTTTAACAATAAGCTTTGTAATGGCCTGAGATAACCACAGTATTGTAGGCAGAGCAGCAAACCATGTGAAAATGAAACTAAAAGGCTCTGGAAGCTGCATAGACACAGAACAGAATGATCCAATTGTCGAAGTTACTAACGAATAGATAGAAAGTAATTTCAATAGACAACTCTGAGATTCTTGCAACAGGAAGCGACGTTATTACCTCCAACAGGATTGTGATCTCAAATCCAGTCAAATCATCCAGGAAGAAAAACCTGTTCAGGTGTTGAGCCATTTTTTACATTTCAGATTTGATCATATGTATTTCTTCTAGAGACAGATACAATCAAGCCAATGAGCATGCGTTACTATGTTACTCAGACTCGTCACTTCACCTCAAGGATCTGTCAGATCCTCAACACTCCAACTTAGGTATAGACTTGACACCTAACACTTCTTTTGGATCATTAATTGAAAAATTATTATAAGACAGTCTGGTATTATATGTGGACACATGGCATGCCTGACATGGGTGCTTAGGCCTGAATAACTTAGGCTGATATGTGGACAGGAAAGGGGGAGAGTGCAGTAAACAGATTTCAGAAAATCAACATAATACTCACACTCCAAGGGCAACGACAGCAGCTGGAACGTTCAACAGGAACATTTTGAAGTAGTCGACAGTGAGATCACTGTAAACCTGTCAAATGAGAGCTAGTCAGAAGGAAATTAATCCTCATGGATTCATGGACTCTTGGACAGAGAAAGAAATATGAAAGATACATTTGAACAATATAAGCTACTTATCTTGCAAATATTGAAATCTTAAAGAAATACAAAGCATTTGACATTCTTTTTGAACACAGTAGCATGTTGTTAATAATTGAGAAAGCGATACAAGCATCAACACCACAGCAATTGGAGCTTTAAGAGGCTAATGGAAAATTGCAAACCTTTCTACTCCTAAGACTGCATCGAGGACCCTCCACAACGATCATACTACCTTCCGTCTGGAAAATAAGTGAGAGGTATTAACAAGTCAAGCACAATTGACAACAGGTCAGAAGATGAAAACGAGTAGAGAAAAATACTTCAAGTTGACAAGACAGTTGACAAGAAAGAAATCTATTTCGAGCTGTCATAATATTGAGTTTATTTATAGATACTGACCTTAAGTTTCAGCTTTAGATCATCAAACTCTTTATCGGACAAAATTGGATTTCCAGCTACATAAGCCATGGAAGCTTCTAAAAACCTCTGCTCATCAGGACCTGTTTGATGAATTAGTCAAGAAAATGAAGCAAATTACGCTTATTAGCATCATGATTATAAGTCAGGAAACAACTGAATAACTTCAGATGTTTGGACAATGTATCATTGAAACTAACTTAGCATTACTACGCTGCTTCCTTCCCACATTAACTCTTCCTTGAGATTGTCGAATTCCTCGTTTGACATGACAGCCTTTCCCTCATAGTAGAATGACTGATCACAGAAAAGAGGTCGTGTTATAATGTCTGAACTCGAATGTTTTGTTCTGAATACTAAAGCAGGGAAAACAAAGAAAGGTAATGTATGCATACTTGCAGCGCTTGTAAGAATTCCTGTTCCATCTCCCCTATCGATTTCTTTCCTTTCTTCTGGTCAAGACTGCAGTATTGCAACATATTACTGTCTACCATTTCGTCTTCTGCTCCAGTTTGACCTGTAAATTACATTGACTCGACTTTCAACTCTCATTTTTCACATCAAAACAACTTACAAACATAACAGAAACATGTTTCTGAGGGAATTATTCCATGCTTTTATACTAGGAGAATAAAATTACTAATTGAAGAAATTAATTCGAATTGATGAGTGAGGACTACATTGAGCTCAAAAATTCATTACAATCCTTATCGTACCCACATCACTAATGTCGCGATCATGATCAAGAGGGCCAAGTCTTACACTATATGAGCATCACTAATGTTATATACGGAATACTAATTACTTATTTGCATAATCTAAATCATCATTATATAACCTCGTAATATGTTTGATTGACATGAGGGTTATGTTACTGATCAAACCTTTTACGGAGTATATTAACAACGTTATGACCAAATATAATGCTATAAACAATTGCTAATTGTCTAAAAACAATAATCTAACATCTAATTGTCTAAAAACAACAATTTAACATCTAACTATAATGGTCGGATCAATATTCAATACTAAAAATAAAATTAGAATAACAATATTTGAACTAGAAAAAAAATATATAAAGATGTCACTTGGGCAAAACCTTGCTTATCAGTAGCAGCGTTGGGGGTAAGCAGTAAGAATCTACGTCGAACCGCAAGACGGCGAACACCCATGAACTGAGCAGAAGCATCCTTGAATGAAGAAGAAGCAGAGAAGATTGTAACTGCGCGTTTTGGAGTTGGAGCAGTAAATATCCTAGGTGAAGTTAAAGCTGCTACACCTAGTTTGGAAGCCATTTTTTTAGCTTAAGATGCTAACTTTTTTTTTACCCTTTAATTATTATTTTTTTGAGCTCAAATAAAAGAGCATAATGTTTTAGTTGAAAGGAATAATGGTAAAGGAGTTTTCTGGGCATTTTGGTTTGGGTTTGGAGATAAGGCAAATGGTTGATTGTGTGGAGGGAAATGAAAGAGGGTTTCAAAAAGATCTCTATTTGTTGGAATTCTTGTTGGTGTTGTTTTTTTATTTTGGTAGTTAATCTGCCATGTCATCGAATTGGCCAGGTGGATTGTTTTCTATTGGCTCGTCGTTATGGGTTCGTCGACTTGTCTTAGGTTGACATGTGGTTGGATTATTATTGCCACGTGGTTGCATTGAGGTGGGCCTAATTGTACAAGATTACCTTTTAATTAATTTTTTTTTTTAAAAAAATACTCCCTTCATTCCATATTGTTCTTCCTACTTGAAATCTTTTTGTGAGACAAAATTAATTAAAGTAGGAAGAACAATATAAAATAGAGGGACTACACATTTTACAATTCAGACTACATGAATAATGTTAAAGGTGGTTGTGACTCATATCTCGTTTGGGTCCACGTCTTTGGGTTTAGCTAAGCTTAGTGAGCTACATGTCGTGCCAAATATTTCAAAAGGGTCGCCCGTGTACGACCCAAATCCACGTGCCACTGTGTCATGTTAGCATGCCTAAGCCAAAATTTTGTCATGTCAAGACATGTCATCATGTTGTGTCTTGTCATGTTTTTTCCAAATAAAGGCGGCTCACAATCCAAGATGCACATGCCATGCCTACACGTGCTTCCATCGAGTTATGCCATCCTTTTCCGTGCTTAGGCCGACCCGGTCCATTGCCTTCTTTACATGAATGTTCATTTGTATTTAGGTAAATACGAAGATAGCCAATATAGCCAAAATAAATGTATAGTGTATTCAATGGTTCAAGTAGTTTTTTGGGAAGTGGCAAGGGAGTCACTTAGAGTATACTTCTTTGTTTCATTTCGGTTGACCCATTAATTTAGACATATTTGTCAATGCACAATTTTGAACATCAATAGATAAATTTACAAAGTGTAAAAAGTTGATGTATGGAATTTATAGATTTGAGATTAATTTAACAACCTTCAATAATTCATATGTCAATCACATAAAGAAGTCAAAGTAGCTTTTGTGAATTATGTCAAAGTCAAAATAATGTCAATTAAAAAACAGATGAAGTATATATACCGTATAAGGTGGCCAACTGTACAAGACTTTCAAATTTAAGGGTCTCTATTTTGATTAAATTATGTCTACAAATAACTTCATACGGAGTACATAATAGATTAATTACACCCAAGTTTAGTTTTGATAAATTTAACACATTCATTGTAGATGCACTAGATAACAATGAAAATTGCTTTGGCTATGAGATAATGAGTGTTAGCTAGGCTTATAATTAATCACAGCAAATACCACTTTATCAATCTCATGTTTTTTGTGGATTGTATGATATGTTTTCAATAACAAAAATTACTTTAGATCTATAAAACAAAGATTCAATTTTTAGAAATCACATTTATTCACTACTACAGATACTGTGGATATCTAAAATTAAAGTAGTCTATGTAAATCATTATGCATGATTAAGTCACACATTATCACAAGAAGTTTGACAAATACAACTATAACTTCATAGGCATGATCATGGAATACATGCTTAGATAGAAATCAAAGTAGAATTAATCAATTAAAAACATCCATCACAAAGAGTGAAAGACATCCTTAATTAGACTTCTTCTCATACGTACAATGATCAACTTAATTTTTTGTGATTGCTGTTTGTGGACCTTGAGTCTTCCTGAAGAGCTTGTACTGAACATGTTGGGCGAAGGTTCGAGGTGGATAACGAGCAGGCTCCTCGTCGCTCACGAGGTCAGGCAAGGGCTTAAGGATGATCTTCTCCTTAGGTGGTTCACAGAAAACTGCCCAAGAAATCCTTACCTTCTCCTTATTGACTAGTCCTCTATGAAGGATACTTTTGTACTTTCCATTGCTAAGGATCTCAATAGTGTCACCAATGTGCATGATAATGGAGTTAGGGACACATTTTGCAGTGACCCATTTGCCCTCATAGAAGAGTTGAAGGCCAGGAACCATGTTGTGGAGGATGAATGTGAGGGCACTTACATCGGTGTGAGCCTCAACTCCTAGAGCTAGCTCCGGTTGAGGGCATTTTGGGTAGTAGTTGATCTTGAATTGTAGAAGGAGCTCTTCTAAGCCTCCTACTTCCTTCTCTAGCCTCCCTTCTTCCAACCCTAATGCAAGCGACAATGCTGAGAGGATCTTAGTAGCTAAGTATCTTAGTTCTTTGGAATACTCTGATACCGCAGGACTGTATCAATTATATGATGAGAAAATTAGCAAAGATTCTTTTGTTTCTAAAATGTAACTTTTTTTGAGGAAAATCCAAAAAATGTAACTAAACATATACGATTTGGGAAGTTAAAGTTCCGCAAAATTGACTGTAATAAAGTTGTCAAATCATATATTCTATTAGGATGCTTATTGGCAACTCTATTTAAATGAAATTGACTATAATATATTCATTTAACGAATTACTTTAATTAACTGGCTAGATATTTAATTTATACAAAGTAAAAGTATATTCTATTAGGATATATAAGATAAATTGAAACTAAAAATAGTGTACTTGTTCCAAATTGTCAACAATAATCAATCTATATATAGATACAAAGTAACAGATTTAGAAGTAGCTATCGTATTGCTTACATACACCACTAAAATCATATGTGTAAGTTCAAGTTAAAATCACATGGGTATTATATCTCAATTTCATTATATATCACTTTTAAAATAAAAAACCAAATCATCAAAATAAATTTGCATAAATGAAAGAGTTATTGAGTATATAGTAACTTACATGTAGTCGGCAGGAGTCTCAGGCCAAATGGACAAGTCTCTTTTGTCCTCAGGGTAACTGAGGTGAAAATAGTAGTCCTCCCACTCAAGTCGCCCACTAGCACTATTTGCTAGCTTACTTCCATACCCTTGTACATTCCCTGATGCTTGATCATTAGCATATTTCTCCTTCTCTTCAACCGGTAGCTCGAAAAATGTCTGTCCGGCCACCTTAACCCGATGGATTAGCTCATCCGAGATACCATGGTTGACAAGGTGCATTACACCCCATTCCATGGCAGCCCTATTGAGCTCTTGGATTGCCTTGCCTCGTACTTCTGGATCCTCAGACGCGATGTCCTTAATGTCTATTGTTGGAACTTGAGATCCCTCATCTTTCTTTTCCTCCTCAAAAACGTTACCCATTGAGGTTAACTCCTCGTTAAGCCTCACGTACTCCTTAGGGATGGATTCAATGCCACTACTTGCTAGGCTTTCAACCCTAGAAGGAGCAAATGTGGCCGTCATTACTATAATCAAAATTGCTAAACAATTTGATAAACAAAATTTGGAAATGGATTGTGAAAATGATTTATATGTTTGTATATTTTGTGAGACGTGATATAGTGTTTTTATAAGAAGAAAAATGACATTAAAGATAATATTAGGTTGTGACAAGTTGAGAATACACTAGCATATCATGAAGGGAATGTGCGTTTAGATTGGACCCTTAGATTCCAAAGGTAAGTAGTTGTGATCTAAAAAAATGTGAAAGATATATAGCTCATCACGTGATTGAGTGTATGTGTTTACCATTCATGACTAACAATGCAAAGGAATACTAATAGGAATGGACGAATGGTAGTTGGCGAAGAATAAAGCATGCATGGGGGGTAGTCTTCCTCTAACATTCATGGATATGACTCATATGAGTGGGTAGATTGGCAACTTTTGACAATTGTTAATTTTCAAGTGCTTTTATTTTAAGTTTGTCTCATATTAAGCATAAAAAAGCTCGAAAACGCTCTTAAGTGCTTGTTTTATTACAAACAAACGGAGAATAAGTATGAGTTTCTGTATGTAATTTCTTGAATGTGTATATGTGACAATAATTTGTTTGGTTGGCATGAAATAGTTAAAATAAGGGGAGTTAAAATTTTCTGGGGAATTGAAATTCGTATAGGACATGGGAATTGGTTACCTGATAGGTTGTTACCTACCATGCATGAATATCAATTACCATCCTTTAGTATAGTAAGTCACAATTTCCATGAAATTAAAATGCCTAAATAAAAAACAAAGTTATTTCTTAAGGGGGTGTTTGGTTGGGGGGTTTAAACAAAGGGAAAGGGAATGATTCCCTTTGTTGCCGTTTGTTTGGCAAAAAAGTTCATTCCCTTTCTCCTTTTTTATTTTTGGTTTTACCCAAAATCTTCCTAATATCATTCCCCACCCCCCCCAAGCCTTTTGCATTCCCATTCCCCTTCATTACCCACGCCCCTCTCTCTCTCCTCTCAAGCCTTTCAACTGACCTTCAACTAAACCTACCACGGTCGAAGACGCCGTCGGTGATCTGTCCGACTACTATTGATCATCGACCGTCGACCCTAGCCGTGAACGTCGAACACCAACGCCCCTCTCTCTCCTTTGAGCTTCTCAAATGAACCTTAACGAGCTGTTCTTGGTTGGGTCGCTAGTTGTCGTTGGTGGCGTGGACGTCGGAGGTTGGGTCGCTGGTGGAGTGGTCGTTGCCAGCAACGGTCGTCGCCATCTTGTTAGGGTTTGGTTTGTAGTAATGGAAAGTTCTTGAAATCGATTTAGGGGTTTTCTGAAAAACCCTAACAATTGAATACCCAAGGACCACCGTTGAGTCATCGGAGCCGACCACCAGCGACCCAACCTGCTATCTTCACCAGTGGATTTTTTTTTTTTTTTTTTAAGGTAGTGCAGTAGTAGCAGTTTGTGGGATGTTGGTGGAGATGCTTTGGTTCCCTATTTTGAACCAAACAGTCACAAAGGGAATTAATGAGCAGTTCATTCTGTTTCTCAGGCATAACCAAACAACCAGGCCAAATTAGGGGAATTTCTTTCCTTTCTCCTGCATTCCATTCCAATTTCACTGTGCGAACCAAACGCCCCCTAAGTTCTTAATGCAAGGGAATTAACTTTTCGTGGACTAAAACTTTCCATGGGATTTTCATGATAGGAAGTTTGATACCCATGTGAACCAAACAAACATTGAATGTACTTAAATCTTCATTGAGAACAAACTTTTGTTCAATCCTTGATCATACTATATATTACTGTTACCCTCCTATAATTTATAAATGAAGTATTTTTTCACATAGATGTTTTTGTGCATAACTATTATGATTGATGAGCTTCATAAATTTCAAATTTATTTCGGGTTAAAAAGTCAAATTTACTTTAATATAAATTTCAAATCTATGCTCTACCTAGAATCATTTACACTAATAAGAAAATTGTACAATCCTATAATAGTATCCATTGTAATATCTTGTTGATCCATACCAATCTTGATCAAAACTTGTTATCATCATTAAATATCCTGTTGGGTAGGTGTTCGGTATGATTTATTAGTATCCATTGTAATATTAATTTTTTTTCGAAACTTGATATAATTATGAAACTAGTACTCGCAGTAATATGAATGGTCAAAGTCGTGTTAAAAACCGCATATATTTTAAGCGGAAAGATCTTTAAGAAACGAAAATGGTACTAACAATTTGTTGATAAACATGACAATGATGACACGTAGAAAGTGTTACCTGGCCGGTGCATACCAAAAAACAAGGATCAATCGCATTCAACCAAACCAACAAGCTTGGTTCATAACTTTCAACACAATTATACATCCCAAAACAAAATTCGTCCCCCAAATTTCTCATTAGTTTCATTGGCCTTATTTTCCTTGGACCCTTCATCAATAATTCAATACTAAGGTACGGAATAATATCTTCCTGTCTCTTTGAGCTATTGTTTCGTCCAACTGTATAATTTTTTCAGCTATATATCTGTTCAATTTTTATTTTTATTTATGTATGTTGATGTTATGTAGTGATTTGAGGTTGAAAAGAATATATTAACTGAATTTCCTGCCAATATTTGCTAAGTTTATGTTTGATTCTTGTAAGTTTTGATTACCTATTTGTTGTTTTTTTAATTTTAATTAGAACCTGAAGCTTAATTAAGGTTGAAGTTTAACTGATAATCATAAAATTATTGAAGTAGGACCTCATCCAAATTTGTGGTTCACATAATAACTTCTTTCTTTCTTTCTTTTTATTTTTTTGGCTGAGTGATTGTTATTCCAGTCTCCAATAATTTGGCTGGTACAAATCATCTTCACTACTGTAATTTATGAAGTCCTTAGCTTATCCATTAGTCCATTACACACCAACACCTGTCTTAATTGGCATGCTTAAGCTTAAGAAGACAAACTAAAATGTCACTCCCTCGGTTTTAGAATAAGCACAAGGGTGCAAGCTATGCAACACTTGTTTATGCACATAGAATTATGCAACTGAACTAAGGTGCGTATTATAATGTTTAAGTGGGTAAAATTAGGAATTAATTACGTTTTTTTATAAAGAAGAAACTAATAAAGCTTAGTTAGACTACCCAAGCGGGCTAGAAATTAATACAGAGCCCTTTGTATGTTGATAAAAGGTGAGTGGGGGGATATTTTATTCAAACGTCGTACATACGTTTGGGGTTTTTAAGGTTTCTGATATGCTAATGATATCTTAATTTTGATGTCAGTGAAGTGTTTGTAGATGGCAAGCCTTTACCTCCCAGGCCCGGCTACTCTTAGAAAATTTTCGCTGTCTGCTTCATCTAATAATGGTATATAAGTGTTACCCTTGCTCACCTTGTTCTGAATCTCCTTGATTTAATGGTTCTGTGTTTTCTTTCATGATGTAAATGGTGATTGCTGCTTGCAGGAGCTCCTTCAACAACACAGCAAGTAGGGCCAGTAGTCTTGGAGCTCCCCCTCGATAAGATACGGAGACCACTAATGCGTACAAGAGCAAATGATCCCCAAAAAGTCCATGAACTCATGGATAGCATTAAGGAGATTGGTCTTCAAGTCCCTGTAAGTACTTCATATTCCGGGCACATCCTTATTAGGAGTTTGTAATGATAATAATGTGCTGTAAGAAATTGAGATCAGTCATTAGCTTGGATCATAGTTTAGCAGTGTTCTGTGTTCTCTAGGTTGCACTACTATAGTACTATTATGTACTTCCTCTGTTCTTTTTTACTTGACTTGTTTATTTTATCACGCTTGTCAATGCAAAACTTAAATGATCAATAATCTTAATTCTCCATAAGTAAAAAATATTTAAGTTATAGTACTTATTGAAACGAATTAAAAAAATCCAACATGAATATATTTTTCCTTAAATATTATTCACAAAAGACGGTCAAAGGAGGGGTGGTGAATAGTGTAAAAGTCAAAATGGGTCAAGTAAAAAAGAACGGAGGAAGTAATTAATTACACTACAATGAAATAGATTGAAGATCATGGCATCCGCCTTTCTTAGAGCAAAGCAATATAAATGTTACTCCGTATACAAGTATACTTTATCTTTAAAATGTCACAATTCACACAAATGTTTTTCCTACTGACCGCCAATGTAAATTATAAGAAATTTCTGAGTTTTGATGCATCACAGAATTCAGGGAAATTTGGGGGGAAACTTATTTTGTGCCTAAGATTTGAATCACTTTGATCATCTTAATACTCTTGTTACAACTGAATATTTTCTGTCTTCTGCAGATTGATGTTCTAGAGGTTGATGGGGTGTACTATGGTAAGCCAATAACAAGTGCTTTTGCCTTGTGCTTCTAAGTTCTAACATGTCAGTATTGAGGAGGTTGATCAGGCTTGTTTTATAAATAGGAATATAACTAATTGTTATTTTCCTCTTCTTACTAACAGGTTTCTCTGGTTGCCACCGATATGAGGCCCATCAGCGATTAGGCCTCCCAGCAATTCGCTGCAAAGTCCGGCGTGGAACAAAGGAAACATTAAGGTTGCCCTTGAGTAGATCTACTGATGTTCTGTTTTATGCCATTTTTTATTCTGAAAATTTCAGCAGAGATTTTGAAACCTTTTCAGATTTATCTTGCAGGCATCATCTCCGGTAAATACGTTGGAGTTGTATTCATTTTCAATTCCCAGCATTATCCTCTGCCTCGAGGGAAGCCGGATGATAATATTTGACTGAAAGCATGCATGGATAGTTTTAAACAGCAATAAGTAAGCACATACATGTATTGTGGCTTTGAACTTATAATTTGTAATTCTACAACTCTCCTACCACGTGGTAGCATATCTTTCTCGACAACTTGTGTAAAACACAAAACTAATGTAGCAATATATTTTTCTTCTCAAAACTTAACCATCATGTGCATTCACATCTAAGAAATATACACCCATCCTCCATATATAGTTAACAAAAAATTGCATCAACCGTCAAAACTAAGGATTGACAGGACATTATATAAAAAGACCATTCAAAGTAATTGGGTCATTTCTATGACTTCAACTCTCTCCAAAACAATTAGAGTAGTGGCAATATTCTGTATTGAGAAATCTTATCATAAACCATAAATATATAATGAAAGGTTATAATATTATCTGGAGTTACTCAATTTGAGTAACAATCCATGTTACTCAAGGGACACGCTGGTCATTTAACCATCTTAGGTGGGGGTAAATTAGTCAGACCTGGTTAAAGTAAAGAAGATGGAGTTAAGGTGAGGAAAAACCGATGAGAAGGAGAAACTGAGATCTTCATTATTCAAAAATTGGCGGTTGAGCAATTTTTCAACAATGGAGGAACACTCACAACCAATGACAAATGCCTACCATCTAGGGGTAACCATGCCCTTAATTGATATATTTTTCTTACGGTTTTTCGTTAAATTCAGCGGCTTCTTTGCCGCCGGAAGTGGTGTGTTGGGGTCGGAATTTGTTGCGGTGTTAGTAGTGTTGAGGACGATCTATATTGTGGTGTTGGTGAATTCAAGAAAATTCAGGGTCTATAGGCCCTCTTTGCTAGGTTGTGAGCTTGTTTCACCCACTCCCTTTTAATCTTGATACACAAACAGAAATTAAAATCATTAGCTAGGACTTTAATACTATCAACTATTGGTCGGATGTAAGCTGGGGCGAGCTCCGGGTCTGTAATCATTCGAACAGCATCTTGACAGTCTGTCTTGATGATAATCTGATGGTTAGTTTCCCTGGCTATATTGAGGCCATACTCAATGGCCCTGCATTCTGCTTGTAAACACATCCACTGCTGCCACTATGCTTGCACCTGCATGCTGGTGTTGTATTTCCTGGTTTGCCTGCCATCCAATTGCTGCCCTTGTTCTTCTTGTTGCTGTCTTTCCCTTCTTCCACACAGCATCAACCTGCATTTGTAGGATTGTGGGTGATGTCAAGTACCCTTGCCTCCAAATCCAGAACTTTCCCCCCACCTTATTCCTTCCATGCTCTGCTTTGTGATCTAATCTCACAGTCTTTAGCCATCTATCAAACTGTGACAGCTTTTCCTGAATCACCACTTCCGGATCAGGACTTGATTCTTTAAATCTAATATGATTTATGTGTATCCAGATAGACCATAGTCAAATCACAAAGTCCACCATAGTTGTGCCTGAGTGTCCATCCTGCTTAGAGAGAATGGAGATCATATGAACCATCCAAGCCTTTAAATTCTGATCACGGCTTTGGGTGGTAATCAAACCCAATGGGCTTGCTGCTCATATTCTCGATGAGAACTCACAATCTTTGGGTGGTAATCAAACCCAATGGGCTTGCTGCCCATATTCTCGATGAGAACTCACAACCTCTAAAAAGATGTTGCTGAGATTCTTCTGCTCTTCCACACAAAACCCACATCTGGTTCACTATAATGCCCCTTTTCCTCAGATTATCAGCTGTTGGAATTGCATTATGGACAATCTTCCATATGAACAGCTTCCATTTTGGAAGTAGCTTGGACTTCCACAGAATCTTCCAGAAATCTGTCATCTCCTTGTCTAGCTCTTCTTTCTTCTCCTGCAGCCAGTATCCTGTCTTCACTGTGTATATGGCAGACTTGGAGTGTTCATAGCCATCCTCCTCTATTGAAGGAATAGGCATAGAGAGAATGTTATGAGCTGTTTCAAAATCAAAAAGTCTTCTGATAAGGGGAACATTCCACAATCTGTCATCATTCCAAAGTTCCCTCACTGTTGATGGCAGACTAACACCCCTAGGCATATACTGCTTGAAAGAAATAGGAGTTGTTCCTACCCAAACATCTCTGTTTATTTCAATGGAATTTCCATCCCCCAAGGTTCTTCTAATGCCTGCTTTCAAAGAGCTAATGTTTCCCACCATGCTTCGTGCTGCCTAAGATGACCCAGCTTTCAAAACTCTTCTTGAATAACCAAGTGACACTGGTGATGCCCCATATTTAGCACAAAATACTCTACTTGCCAGAAGGTCTGGATTAGTATGAAATCTCCAGGCTTGTCTTGCCTGCATAGCAGTATTAAGGGAAGTTATGTTTCTTAACCCAAGTCCACGTGCAAGTTTATGAGTGAAAAGCAATTCCTTCTTCCTCCAGTAGATTGGTTTTTTACCATGCTTAGATCTCCACCAGAATCTTAGCATAGAAGACCTTAATTTTTGTGCCACTTTGGCTGGGCACAAGTAGATAGATAGCACATGCATAGCAAGAGAGACTATAATGGCATTAAACAAAACAGCTCTACCACTGAGACTGCAGAACTTCCATGACTCAATCTGTTTGGTTACTTTTGTCTGCAAATCTATGAACTTGCTAGAAGCCCTTCCATCTACCTCCACCATTGTTATAGTCTTGCAGACAAGTGAAGAAGGCAGAAGAAGAGAGAGATGAAGAAGGAAGGACTGGCCAGCTAAGGACTGTCATGCACAAATTTCAAGACTAATATTTACAAGATTGCCATTTGAATAACAATATTTGTTACTCAAATTGAGTAACCTGGGCTCCCTCATAAATTTGGGATCAAGATATTGGTGGAAATAATCTCTGACAAATGGGAAAAAGAAAAGGATCAATGTGAAAGCAGGGAGAATATTACTAATCCCTGAACCAATACATTTTATTTTCAAATCAAGATTTTGATCACTGTGCTGCTAATACCATTTGATACAATAATTTATGACAAAATGTACAATATATGACTGCAACTAATCCCATCTTATAGGAGAAACTAAGGGCTTGTTTGAAACGAAGGCCTCCAAGTTTGCTATCGAAATGTCTTCTGCAGCCTTGAAGGAATCTGGAGTCAAGACAGCTTGATGAGGGGAGAGAACTACATTATCTAAACCAAACAGTTCTTTAGGAACATTAGGCTCATTTTGAAACACATCAAGACCGGCTCCTCCAATTTTGCCTTCCACCAGAAACTGCACCAGTTCTTTCTCATTGATTAGATCCCCTCTGCCGATGTTAATGACTACTCCTTCCTTTCCTAATGCATTCAAAACATACTCGTTGATCAAGTGGCGAGTTTGATTGGTCAATGAGCAGCACAGGATGAGAATGTCACAGTCAAGTGCTAAGTCATAGACATTGGCATAGTAGGGGAAAGAAACAGAGGGTTTCTTCTGCCTAGAGGTGTATGCAATGCTGCAACCAAGTGGAATAAGTCTCTTTACAACCCGAGAACCAATGCTTCCAAGACCGACTATGCCTACTCGCTTTCCACCTAACTACAATTGCCATAAATCTAGTTATAGTAATTGAAGTAGCAAATTGCAGATTAACACTCAGGAGTTTAGTATATATCATAAACTCAGGTATATATGACTAGCTAAATAGTACTCCGATCCGTATCTAGTTTAGTAATTTAAGGGGTAGTAAAAGCATAGAGTTTTGAGCATAAATTAAATTCATCAGTCAAGCTCTAATGATGTTTTTGGTTGAAAAGTAAGGGCAAGTTGAATTACTCGAATCTTTCAGCTCCGTAGAGATTCTAGCATGTAAATTCAGTCATTTCCACTACACAGTACATCTTCTTGGTTTTCTAACAAGATTGCCTTTTGATATTCATGTCGTACAACCGTACAAGTGCATCTCTAATCAAATAAATGAGGTTCGATTTAAATAGAGCTAAAAATTACTCCCTCTGTGCCCTTTTATTTGTCCAATGAGTTTATTTCTTTTCTAATTTAGGTGGGAAGGGTGTCCTAATTCTCCTAGGGGTTCGTTTGGTTCAATATTAGTAAAGGAAAAGAAGAAAAAGAAAGGGAAGGGAAAATAAAGGAAAAGGAAGATATTTTTATTTTCCAATATTTGGTTAATGAAAGGAAATAAAGGGAAGAGAAATAAAATTTATAAAACATAACTTTTATTTTTCCCTTTTCAATCGAATTCCTCTGATTTTGAGAGGAAAAGCTAATAATTTGTGAAAGAACTTTCCTCCCACTTCCCTTCATTTCCTCTAAATTCTTATGTTATTAATTCAACCAAACATGAGAACAGGATTAAAAAAAATTTTTTTTTCTCTTTTCTTTTCCATCCAAATCCTTTCAACCAAAAAGGGCCTAAATCATGTGTATACAATTCAAATAAACGGAGTAAAATGGAAAATGGGACAAACAAAAACGAACAAATGAAGTAAAAGTAATAAATAACTACTCCACATAATCAGCAAGTAAAATTGAAGATTTGAAGCTAGAGAAAAGGAAAGACAACTCACTCTAGACCCAAGTGGAAACACCCCTTGTTCGAGCCAAGACCCGGCCCGAACAAAGCGGTGAGCAGCGGAGACCTTACGAAGCACATCAATCAACAACCCAACAGCACAATCAGCAACATCATCCGAAAAAGCGTCGCCAACATTAGCGACGGAGATTCCTCGACGACGACACTCAGACAGATCAATATGATCATAACCAGCGGAGGAAGCGACTACGCATTCCAAAGAGGGCAAACAATCTAAGGTGTCCTTTCTCAAGGGAGAAGGTCCGATGCAGAGGACAGCGCGCGCGGCGGCGGCGTTGTAGCGGAGGAAGGTGTGGGCGGCGGAGGAGTCGGTGCCGACGGCGGTGATAGGGTCTAGGATGGTGAAAGTGGGTGTGAGGCGGTGGTGGAAGAGGAATTTGAAGAAGGGTATGCGGTTGATTACGAGGAGGGGTTTTTGGTGGGAATTTGGGTCAATGGAATCCGCCATTTTTGATTGGAGGTTGGTAGTTGGTAACTTGGGAAGTGTACAGGATTATAGAAAGAGGACAATGTTTTGTGTGATTATCAAGTTTTTTATAATTTTTTTTCTTTTTGAAAATTTTTAGATTTCTAGTTAAACACAAATTCTTATTGGGGTTTCTTAGTAAATGTTATTAGAGTTACTCGGTCAGTGTTATAAGGGGTTACTTCATTATTGTTTCAACTGTTACTCGATCAATATTTTAGGGGTTAATTCGTAAATGTTTTCTAAGCTTATTCGGCCAGTGTTTTAGGGATTATTCGGTCGGTATTAAAGGTGTTACAAGTAGTCACACTTTTACAAGCGGCCACATGGTGTGGTCAGTGACACATAAAACGTGTTGCTAATTAAAATAAAGTTTTTCATTAAAATAATATTATTTTAGGAAACAGTAAAAGTCAATAATTTTAAAGAATAAATATTATAGAGAAAAAGTAAAAATAAGTTTTAATTAACAAAAATTTAAGTTTAACAAAACTAATTTAAGTTTGACAAAAATAATTAATGTTTAGGAAAAATAAGGTAAAAAAAAACAAGGTCTTACTTCAAATGTTTCATCTTACATGACATAGAAAATGTAATATGGTCAATTAACTTTATGGATCACTTCATTCAGCCATGCAATGAGATTGACCTAGTTTAATCACATGTGTACTTATTTAATTTGTACTAAGTATTTCACTTAATTACTTTTCCTTGTAAACATAAAATTGATTAATTGGGGTAAGAATTTGTCTTGTATTGATTATGTTAGTGGTGATACTTAATTCTAGATGTTTTTGTTATTTGATTTTCTTTCATTAGTAGTAGTATAATATTTCCAACCATATATTTATTTGTCTCAACTATATTATTATTCATAGCAACCCAATATTGATACTACCTTATCTGTGGGATCAACCCTGACTTACTCTACTACATATTAGGAGGATTAATTAGTTAGGCTTTTATTATTTTTTAATTAAAACTAACTTTTAGCTTTTATGCAAGTGATGATATAAGAAGAGCACCTCCTATGGTTCATTGCGATTAATTTCTAGGCGCTTGACCTTATTAGTTCAAGAGGTTCACTTGCTAGTTTTCACCCACCACGCCATTGGTATACTCTTTCCTTTCTGTATCTTTTCAAGTTTGTGTGAAATAATCTCTTTCTGCCATTTGTTTTGTTTTGACTTGATTAGTGTGAATGAAGAATTTGTTTATATATACCATGTAGCATTAAACGTCGTCCTTGTCCTAAATGAATTTCCAAGTCAATTTGTGAATCGAGTGATTTTAAATGAAAATATTTTTCTTTGTTTTTGTCATAAGTTGATTGGCATTGGATTGATGAATTATGGAAGATGGCATAAATCCTTTATTGGCAATGGTATGTGGTAAGATAGATTCGCTTCCCCTTGTGCGATGAGACCTTAGTGGAGGGCTACGAACCTCGTAAGACTCCCTATCTCTTTTCCCCCTTCTTGATCACCTAAATTGGGACTTGCATTTTAGCATCCCGAGATCGATGACTAAATTACATTGAAGGACATGATTGGTGCATTTCTTCTTATTGTTTAGAGCTTTCAGATTACATCATTAGGATTTTTTATTTTTTTATTTTCACATCTATCTCTTGTTAGCCATCCTGAGCCTATATTATTTTCTTTACTACCATACTTTACAAGCATGTGGTTTTACTATGAGTTCAAGTATTGAAAAGTGGATGTTATTGTCAAGATTTTTTTTTTAATGATATGTTATTCAAGTGGACGTTGAAAGGAAAAAAAAATGCAATGTCGAAAAATATGTGAAAAAAGGGCAATTAAAAATAATGAGAAAAAAAGAAGTTCAAAAAAAAAAATTGAAAAAAAAATATTGAGAAAGATTGAATGGGAATGGTGGAAAATGAAAAATAAGATTTGTTGATGTTTAGAAATATGTTATTTAAATTTCTAGTTGTAACTTTTGTAACTATTATATCTCACGGCCGGAGGTGTTTTGTGTTATTTTCTCCACTAGTTTATTTTCTTATCACCACATTCCCAAATTACATTTCCCACCTTATCACCCTAGCTCACCCTTTAAAAGTCCTCTTAATCTTCATCATGTGGTTTGGTCCCAAAACGGTGGAGGGAAAGATTTTGTGCAACTCCTGATGAGGGTCATCAAATCGAAGTGAGGCATGAGCAAATATGGTTGAGCATCCCTAAGGAAGATTCAAGCTTGGGGGAAGGAAGCGGTAAGATTGGTTGGCCATTAAAGGTGCTATTAAACTAGTATTTCATCTATGCTTGTTAGCTTGTGATGCTAAAGTTTATGAACAAATTTAATTTTTTTAATGCTTCTCACTTGGATGATCTTATTCATTTTGGAAATTCATCACTTGTTTTGACGTGCTTTGCTTGAGCACAAGCAAAGATTTAGTGTGTTTTAGTTGTTATAACTAAACGTATTTTAGTTGTTTTAGGTTAGTTATTAGTCGTTAGTTTTTTAAATTTTTTATTTTTATTTTGGCTTTATGGGTATGCCTTCTGCAAACCTTCACGAGACCGAACTCATCCTTTAGGCTAGCCTAGGGGTTTAAAGGGCTTATTGCACATGCTAAGTGCAATCGTGATTCCTATGACAGTGAATATTAGATTTTATTGTTGTCTAGGTTAATTTTAGCTTTGTTTACTCGAGGACGAGTCACTACTACATTTTTAATCAAATGCAACGGCTAAAATAGAGCTAGTGCAACGGCTCATTTTATTGTCGTTGCATTAGATAAGCCTAAACAATGGCATAAACTTTGTACATCAAAAGATGGAGCTAACGCAACGGCTTTAAGAAGCCGTTGCATTAGGTGTACTAATACAACGGCCTGAAAAGCTAATGCCACGGCAGTGATATTAAATACTCCGTATGAAAATGCGCTTAAATTTTGAAAATCCCTCTGATTTTTAATAAAATTTGGTGAGTCACTATTTGGAGGACGGTGAGGACCCTCTTTACTTATTTTCTCTCTCTTCCGCTCATTTTCTCTCTCCTATCTCTCTTTCTTTCCTCCATTGAAGCGGCGTACTCTGGTCTTTATTTCCTCCATTGAAGCTGAGTTGAGGTATTTATTCTTCTTCATAATCATCAAATATCAATTTGACAATATAGGGTTTCACTATCATTGATTTATTTGTCAGTATAGACAATCTAGGGTTCTTAGGTAGATTATCGAACTATTTTTTTAATCAACTCATTTGAATTTCTAGTAATTATTATTTACTCACTATTTGTACGTTTCACCTGTTACTCTGAGAAGATGGAGGGAGATCTAGTATGCTTCACCAGACCACCGCTGCACCGCACCACCAAAAGTCAGTGCCACCAACGCCGCCACACCTCCTAGCCGACACCACTAACACAACTGACACCGCAAGGGGTTTGGGTCAGTATTTTTATCCTTACAATTTCAAATCCCACTTGCGGCTCTTAATTGGAAATGCAATTTATGTATTTAGATTTCTTTTTTCAAATTGTATATTGAAATTAAAATATATTTGCTTCATTGTTTTACATTACTTTGTTTGAGAATTTAGAATTGTATTATTTGATTAAAATTTTGAAATTTCAAATTGGAGTTTATAAATAAAAAAGATAAAATTAAAAAAAAAAATATAGGGATTGTAATTCTATAAAGCAACACCCATATTGTAATATTTTATGCTGGACATCATTATGTCTCAAAAGGCTTGATTGTAATTTTGCTCGGGATTCTATTTTTGAAACTGTAATTGTTTTGCAATTTATGAATAATTTATAATCCTTTGGAACTATTAATGTAGCTCCCGTTTTTAGTGCTCCTCCCTCTAAAGATAATATGTGGTACACTAATACTTTAATTTTAGGGTCCATCTCAATCTCCTTATGGAGGTTTTTCTTAAACCCTTCTTAATTTCTTAATTTTTTTGTATTCCATTTTTTATTTAGTTGAAAACTTGAAATTACATGTATTTCTTGTTCTGGTTTGTATTTCCTTAATGTATGACTGTATGTCCTAGTATGAGAATTTGCTATTTCCTTAGTCACGAATCTTTAAATTCAATGCTATCAGGCTATTGTTAATTTAGTCCAATATATATACTTGTGTATTACTGGCGGTTGAATAGATGTGTTGGTTAAATATATATTATTTTGTTGGGAAGAATAATGGTTTTCTAAATTCTTTTTCTAATTTTAGATGTGACTAACGTATGAGGGGTGTCTTCAAGTTGGATTAGAGTTAGTTGTTTATACCAGAAGATTACCTAATGGCTACTCAAAAGGAAATTATGCATTCAATGATTCTTTTAGTGTCTCTGAAACTGGTTAACTAGAATCACTAGATACCTCAATCTAGCTGGAACATAAGTCAACCTCACAACTACAATGCACATAAGTAATTTGCCCGAAAGAAAGAAGCAAAAGAATTCGAAGAAAAAGAAAAGAATCTTAAACATTGAAAGGACCTTCTATAAACATATAAATGCTTTTAATGACTGTTGGACTTGATGTGGTGTAAGCTATAAGCAAATTGACATTTTTGTTGGTTATTTTTCTCTGACTGATATTTCATTTCAATAAATGAAGTATACTGCTTAACAATGTGATTCTTTGTGATAATGATCTATTTTATTTTAGAACAAGTCTGGTTCTAGCTTGACTAAAATTTATCATCCAAATATTGATAATGTGTGAACCTACTCTTAACCCAAGTCCTATGACATGCTATAGTTTGATTCCTTACAAGATAATGTGAATAACTACTATATTGATTAGTTGGTGTGCTCAGAAGCAGTACTATTGGCACGTTCTTACATCGTGTTTGCTTAATTACTTTCTGTTTTTGCTACACTTGGTGGCAAGTCCTCAGCTCTAAGTTAGTTTGCTTACCTTCTATCATGCTTCAAGGCTTAATCTGCAGCAAGCTAAAATAACTTAACGGTTTTTATTAAGAGCTTATTCTTTATCTGATACTGTAATAAATGTTGTTGTAATACTACCATTTTATTTTTCGGCTAACTGAAATAGGATTATAAATAGCAGGTTTCTGCTGGGATGATCACTGACCCGGGAGTCTAGAGAGGACCTAAATATTTCTCATACTTCCTAACCATGTATCACTACATTTGCCTTGTTTCATTAGTAGTATATATTGTTTCAAACCTGCCTAAACTTGGTAAAGCAGGATATGTACTGCTCAAATAGTAAGGAGCTACAACGAGTGAACGAATGCCCTGATATTATAGTCTCAGAATGACGCTTGCCCATTATAGTCACAATGTAGAGTTAACCAATAATGTACAATCTTAGCTCTTATGAGTCAAAGTTTAAAACTTAAAGCGTAGTTGGTAGGTTAATTGTGAAATATGGATAGTTGAACATGCTATAGTTGAACCATGAACTAGTAGAAATGCTGGAACTCGGTTGTATGAATTTAGAACCTTGTAACAGTGTAAGTCTATCAAAGATTATATAGCCATTAGAATGTTCAAATTTGCCCTTTAATTAATTATCTAAAAATTAATGACTTCCCTGCTTGCTGATTATTAATTTTGCTTGTCCACAATTAATGTACTGGACTACATTAATTTGTGCCGCTTGGGTGAGAATATACCTTGATCTCTATTGTACAGAGCTTCAGATCATCTTTGAATTTCCTCAATTCCCTCTATTTGGCATTCTGATTTACATTAATATTGTTTAGATGTTAGCTAGCATATAGTGCCTAGAAATATTTACATATTCTTCATGTGATCATCTTTGCGTTTTAAGAATCTAGCTTAAACAACCAGAGATTTATTAAAGTATTTGCTATTCTGCTTCTGATTGAATAAGGAGGCAGTAAAGTAACTTATGAAAGATGTATGCAGAAAGCAGAAAATTGACTACACTGATTTTTTGACTCCTTTTACAGGTATATAGCTTTCAATTATTATTCATGAGCTAATCAGTTTTCAACGATAAGCACTGACTTAAATTAGGATGATGTAAACTGTTTCCTGAGCACATCAATGATTGGTATATTTCTACATTATGATGATTGATGAATAACTACTAACTCTCAAGCACGACAAAGGGATATGCGTACTTGTGAAACCGTTAATTTGATGCTAGCTTAAAGTCACCAATAATAGGTACTTTGTTCCATTTACGTGAGCTCCTGTGCAGCTAAAAGGTAAATTCTTGAACATTTGAGTAAATGTGGTTGAACCAATTTCATGTGGAATTTGATGTAATAATATCTGTTTGTATTTTCTGTTTTCAATGCGGTTATTTTAAAAACTAATGATTGTTTTTTATAGGCTTTGGTCATTGCTCATCGACATGATCTACAGTTGTGATGGCTGGGAGAGTACTGTTCGTAGAAGCTGGTAGGTTGCACGACATTGAGTAGACGACTAAGGATAAAAGGGGCCAATTATAGAGTTTCAACAAATTATGAAGAAACACCTGCTTAAGTTTTTCATACTATTAGCTCAAACTTATGTCAAAATTATGTTATAAGGAATATACATGTAGTTATAGGTGTTATTTGAACTTGTAAATTTTTTTTAAGTGCGACATTATATTTATGTACTCTTAAATTTTTAAATCCAATAATATTTTCCTTTATTTTGTCATATCTAAATAGATTTATATACATATATATTGGTTCATGTATAATAATTTTAAAAAATAATAACAATTATAATAGTCTCTGCCGTGGCATTCGGTCTCAATATTATGATGTTTTCAGGTATTAATCTAACGCGACGGATAAATGATGCCGTTGCATTAGGTATTAAGCTAATGCGACGGATTAATGTTGTCGTTGCATTAGGTGTCAAATGCAGATGCCACGATACATGGTCGTTGCATTAGGCCTAATATAACGGATTTTGATACCTAATGCAACGGATTTAGGGGTTGCAATAGATAAAAAATGTAGTAATGAGTAAAGGTTAATATCACAATATTCAAAATAATACAACCCAATCAATTTTGTCAAAAAAAAAAAAAAAACAATACCAACGTTAAATACAATTAATATCACAATATTCAAAACAATAAAATTACCAATAAATATATCACAATATTCAAAACAATAAAACTACCAATAAATATATCACAATATTCAAAACAATAAAACCCAATTAATGCTAAAAGTAAAACTCTCAAACGTCAAACACAAAATGAATGTCAAAGTTTTCAAATAAAACAGTTGCACACAATTTAAAACAGTAAGTAATAACCGACCAACAAAACATTTTTAAGCCTAAAGTTCAACATTACAAAGGGTACAAGTAGAGGCTTAACAGGTCGTCTTCGCATTTGAACATAACAACCAGCCCCTAGTCCTTACGAATTTCATGCTTTCGTATGTAGTCTCCGACACCAGAGATAACACAACGGGTTATCTTACCATTTGAATATTCCACCACAACTCTGCCTCCGTCCATTTGCCACCATCCATTATTCCGAAGAAATTTTACCAACAACTACCATTTAAATGATCACTTTTAAAAACAGCTACCATTTAAATGACCAATTTTGAAATAACTATCATTTATTTTTTTTATTTTTTTTTTTGAAAAAACTACCACAAAAACACAAAAACTTTAAGTAGCACTGCCACATTTAATTTTTCCGGCAAAATCTCCGTTTCAGGGGCCTATTTTGTAAATTTCCCTCTAAAAATCCATATTAAATGACGATATTGATATACATTAACCCTAAATTGGGTAATACATTTTAATTGCCCTAAATCCCCCGATTTCTTAAAACCCTATTTTTTTTTTTTTTTTACCATGAACCCTAATTTTAAGATTAAATTGAGAACTTCAATCAACTACAATGCGAATTAAAAACAATTTACATGTAATTGTGTTTGGCTACCGAAATTCCCTTATTTTCTCTATCAAAATTAATTGAAATTTTATAAAGTACGCTCCAGAGATTCTTACCGGAAAATTAATTTAAATGTGGTAGTGTTGTTGAAGTTTTTGTATTTTTGTGGTAATTTTTTTTTAAAAAAATATTTATTTAAAAGGTAGTTGGTCTCAAAAGTAAAAAGTGGTCATTTAAATGGTATTTGTTGGCGAAATTTCCTTATTCCAACAATTTAATATCTCTCGAAGTCGTCTTGGTGAAGGTGTTTGTTGGCGAAATCCAAAGGGACATTCTGCACAAGTGTAAACATAAATTAAGTATTACCAATACTCATGAAAATATGGCAATTAAATTACATTCTTAAAAATAAACCTAAACTTACAATAATTCCTAATCTGATGTATGATTTGGTAACATAATTGCATAACCCGGCTTTAAACCATATTCCCTAATGAACTTTTCCACACTATTTCTTATACGTATTGTTATGTTGTTGATAAAGAACCCGCAAGACAAAATTTTCTTCCAAGATGAGATCCACTACCCAGATCTAATTCCTCGGGTTGATAGTTATCTTGAGGATGGAGGACCAACACATTCCTTTTAACTTTGACGTGCAATTCCCCTTCAAAACAATAGTACAAGGTTAAGATGTCCCCGTTTTCTAGTCCATTGTCTCAAGACGAATATATCCCACCCTACTCCAAGGGCATAATTTGTTACAAAAATATAAAGAAATAAAGAAATAGTAATTTTAAATTAACTATTTAATATGGAAAAAAATATTATGTAAATTCAAAATAATCTAAATCTAAGTACACATATGTATATATGTCAAATATATACACATAATATACGTACAATATAAATCTATATATATATATATATATATATAACTGATAGAGGAATGAGATGAAGGAGTGAGACAAAGGAGATGGGAATGGAGAAAGAGGAGGAAGAAATAGAAGTAACTTCCTATAGAGGAGTGAGACGAGGGAGATGAAAACTAAGAAAGGGGAGAGAGAGAGAGTGAGAAATAGAGAAAGAGAAGTGTGTACAAAGTAATACATTTGATTTGATTTTATAGTAGATGAGGAAGAGGGGACATTGGATTCCTTACAGTATTACCTGTTTCAAAATAATTTCCTACTAATTCTTTTCTTAAACTGCTAAACAAATCTTGAATGTAAATTAAAGAGTAAAAGAGGCAGTTTTTATTTTTGAATGTTCCTCTTCCAACAAAATCCAACTTGACTTTATAAATTACAAAGTTAATATTTATTTTTGAAACAAATTACAAAGTTAATATGGATATTTATGTTTTGTTTATGTAGGTTTTTTTAATAAATAATTGAGTTAGTAATTCGTTTAATTGATCCTTAACACTTAACTATTAATAGTTCGACCTTACACATTAATGACTTATTAGCCATGTTATCCCATTCCTAACATTACTTATTTTTATTTCAATTCTTAGTATTCACTCATATAATTTTCCAAAATTAATACATGCAACACAAACCATTCCCTATATGGCTATAAACCGTAGCAGCGTAGCTTGTATGGGAAAAGGAAATGGGGTGCCTTTTGTACGTAAGATCTTAGTTACACAAGTAGGCTACATCTTGGTGTCTATCACTTTCCACTTGAGTATCTAATTTGAAAATACAGAAAGTGAATAATCCGTTACATTCTAGACTTAAGTAAATTTCATCCGTATATTAGAGAGAAATTTATAATTGTTAAATTGTAATTAATTTTCGTACCAATTTAAGTATGGCTTATATCATATTGTATTCATGAGGTTAACCAAATTTTTTTAGGTGATATTATATACCAAATCAACTAGTAGCCACATACAACTTGTAGATATGTTTATCAAAATAACTTAATCCCATGAGATTACAACAATAATAGTAACAACATTGTATGCATTGGTTGTAGCGTCTAAAGTCCTTTGTCTTCTGTTGTCATTTGTGGAGATGAATCTAGTTCCACCGCACGTACCCACACGCGCTATGTGGAGTCGGTGGTATGATATAATAATCGTCGTCCTCGGAATTGCTAAAATCCTCCAAAATAGTACTTACCTTTAGGTAGGTCCTCATAGGCTCATATTAAAGCCCTGAAAGTTTGATACCAGGCTGCATGCATGACAAGTAAAAATTAGACAATTAGAATCGAACCTAAACCAAAATGCATTTAAAAAACTAGTAAATGACTCCAAATCTAAGTTACAATTGTGTTTAACGACATTACATGCCTGAATAAACATCTGCCCTTGTGTTAGAAGTATGGTTAGTTCTACACGGCTATCCCAAGCCACGACAACGCCCTCCAATCCGGACGGTGGCCCTATCGCATTCAACTTGTAGTCCAATGCAATACCATTCCTTACAAAGTCCACCATGGGATACTTGTTCTTGCTTCAATAATCACCACTAACATTGAATGGTATGCTTCACGCAACTTGTTAAAGTTGTCGAAGAATGAATGCCTATGTACGCTTATTGCATTCCAAACAACGACAACAAATCCTTTTGGAAACCCACCATGAATGGATATTTTCTCAACCCTTTCATCTCTGACTGATACGTGAAAATACCATACACCTTCAATTAGGTTACCAAGTGTTGTTTTAGTCTATACCTTGGCAGATACGAGGGAAAAATTGTTTTGCAACTCCATTACGTGGACTCCCCCCTTCAGTACAAGAAAACAGGCCATTTTCGACGGAAACATCCTGTTTCCCGTTGGAAAACCTGTTTTCGACGGAATTTCCGTCAGTACTGGTTGTCGGAAAATTTTTTGTAGGAAAAACGACCTTTCCGACGGAATTTCCATCGAAAACATTTTTTCGAAGGAATTCAGTCATCAGAAAATATTTTATGGCACGAAAAAAGTCCGTCGGAAATTTCCGACAGACACAATTCCGCCGGAATTCCGTCGAAAAATACTGAAAAAAAAAACAAAAAAAAAATGCCACCACCACCCACACCACCCCAGCCGTCACCCCACACCACCAGCCCGCACCCCAGCCCCCAACCCCCACCACCAGTCCACACCACCAGCCTCCATCCCAGTCCTACCAGCCCCACACCACCTCTACTAGCCCCCCTAAACACGTACCAACCACCAAAACTATCACCCACAACCCAACCACCAAAACCACCACCAGAACCCCACCACATCCACCTTTAAAACACACACACACACACACACAAACCAGATCCCTACCCACCACACTAACTCGGACTACACCACCACTCACCCTAACCGATCCACCCTACCACCCACCTAACCGAACCAGACCCAACCCCCTAACCCTAAACGACCTGATTCACCAATCCAGATCTACCACCCAAACCAAACCATACCCAACCCAGATCTACAACCATAACCCTAACAAATTCGGCCAAACCACCCATGTTAAGCAAACCACCCCACCACCCACCTAAAACCACCACCACTACCGCCGAAAACCACAATCACAACCCAAAAATTAACAAAAAAAAAAATAAAGAAAGAAAATTAAAAACAAGAAAACATACCTTTACAACCGAAGCTTTGAATATCACCTCGAAATTGGTTTAATACGGCCAAATTCGACCATGAAACCTCTAGATCTAGGGATTTCAAGGTTGAATTTGATCGTAAAAACCGTAGAGAGGTAAAGAAAGGTGTGAGAAAAAGAAAGAAAGAGAGCAGAGGAAGTAGAGGAGAGAGAAAGAGAAGAGAAGAGGAGAGGCGTGAGAAAAAGAGAAGTAAGGAAGAAGAGGAGAGATAAAGAGAATAGGAGAGGCTTGAAATTTGAGGAAGAGGAGGAGAGAGAAAGAGAAGAGAGGGTTTTGTTTATTTTAAGAGAGGAATGAGAGCGTGAGATATTAAGTATGAGAAACTTTTTTTTTAAAAAAAAATTTATATTCCGTCGAAAAATACATAAATTCCGACGAATTTATATTCTGTCGGAAATTTCTGACGGATTTATATTATGTTGGAAATTTCCGACGGATTAATTAAATCTGTCAGAAATTTCGAATTTTTTGACGGAATGGCACGTTCGTCGGAACCGGTCTGTCGAAAATGGGCTGTTTTCTAGTAGTGCTTGTTTGCCCCAAGTATGATATCCCATGAAGTAGTAGGAAAAGGCAAAGACTGTGTTGAGGAAAATACTGTTCTTTACCAACAAGTCAAATACCCTATCTTGTTCTAGAGTATTAAGGGGTTGCCCCTCTTGCTACTGGTTTCAAAAGATTGATAACCTCGCTAACGTAAGAAAACAAACAATAAAGAAGCTTCCCAATGAAATTAAATAAGTTAGATTGCTTAAAGAAATGAGTAGACCAGATAAACATATGACAAAAGATGCAAATGCTCTCCATTAATTAAAGGATAAAGTTAGGTCTACAATTGCACAAGTTGAAAGAAAGGTTATCTCCATGTTCATACAATTGGAAAAAACAATCGACCTTCAACACATGCTAAGGAAAACTAAACTATTGCTTGCCTATTAAGCCAAGGGAAAACTAAGAAAGATAAGAAGGAAGCTTAAAGAAAATAAAATGTTTGTTGTTGATTGTTTTGCTGATATCCTTCCTTCGATTTCTTCACTTCTAGCTATTTGTAGACAATTTAGGGTCCAGTAGCTGTTGCGCAGTTACACCTCTTGGCGCCAACCCCTTTTGAAATCGAATTGCCTTATTTTGCCTCCAAAGTGATTCGTTCATCTTCTTGGGCCTTTTAACTGAATCCAGCACAATTCTCCTTACTTCCATTGTCTGACAAAAGGCCCTTAATATAATTCTAAGGTCCATTTTCCTTGGTCATTAGGTCAAAGTCAAAAATTTAAATTTTGGGTGTAACAAATGCCCCCCCCCCCCCTAATTTGGATGGTTGATGTCGTTTGAAACCAAACAAATTATGACTTTCTTGCAAAATTTAAGAAGTATTGCGTATGTCTAATTGCCAATGGAGAAAACACAAAGCATTAAACACAAAGTATGTCTAAGGCAATCTGTGTGTGTCACCTCCTCTTACAGCCAGGCTCTCTAAGATCTGGGTGCGTTTATGTTCATTAGGGGGGTGTAATAGGCTCACATTTGAGGGGGAGATTGTTAAGTGCAAGTGTGATTATTATTTGTCCCATCAAGGGCTTTCATTTTATAATCCAAGTGGGCTACTTTTTCTATTGCAAATTAGTTTTAGGATGAAACCTCACAGTAGGTTGTGGTTTGTGGGCTTCTGAACTTCTCTCCCTTGTATTTTCCACTTCTCCCCCCATATGTTATAACATATTGTTAATAATCAACCACAACACCACATTTTGATCTTTTCCCTTCCTTCATTTTTCACCCAAAATTTGTTTATCAAATTCTTATTCATGCTCAAAAGGTTTTAGGATTTTATGGGGTTGATTTGATTTTTTTTTTTTTTTTTTTTTTATTTTTAAATGCAAATGTATGGATATGGAGATGTTTGTTTGAAGAGCTTCTGATGCTGAGATGGCGTTCTTCATTAAAGTTGTAATGATGGCTGCTTTTTGCTTAACCCATGAGAAGGCGTTTCTTTTTTTTAGCAGCTAGAGATGACTAATTTTATTGAACTAAACTAAACTAAACTGAGATAAAGTAATTGAATTAAAGATAAGTAAAAAATAATAGATATCTCGTTTACACATTACAAAGTAAATTGCTCGAGTAATATTCGCCTCTCCTCTCCTCTTCTCTCCTCTTCTTTTCTAGGGTTTCTCCAAATTTTTGGTCGTTTAGGTCGGAAGTAGACTATTTCCGACCCTTTTTCCTTAATTTTCCTTAGTTTTGCAATTTCGTTTTCAATAAATCTATACGAGTAGTGTAGATATTTGTCCATCTCCATATGGTGAAGTCGTTAGTTTTTGTTAGTTTTGTTGTTTGTTTTTGTTTATGGTTTTTTTGTGTGTTAGGGCCTATTAAAAAGGTAATCATTTTTTGCCCTATTATCAGTTTGTTGGTAAATAGTTGTCTGGGATCGCAACGGTTGTCAAATCTCCAAAGGCGTTTAAGTGAATTAGATGAAAATCATCCTTACGGCTACAACAAATCGTTAGACGTCTCTCCGAAAAGGCTGTATATTCCAGCGATGTGTGCGAGAGATGTACCACAGTGCAAGATCTATTCAACGATCGTAGCTTTGATGAAGGAAATTTGATTTAATTTCATATATTTGTTGATTTAAATTTCATTTGTAGATGTCGTATGGCTTTTGATTAATGAATTGATTTGTTAAAAAAAAAATTAAAAAAAAAAGTAAAAAACAATAGGGCCTAATGATTTTTTATTTTTTTTATTTTTTTAAAAGCATAGGGCCTAAGTTTTTAATCTAAGGGACTAAGTTTTTTAATGGAATTATTTAATCTTTTACTAGAAATATCACATCAATTCCCAAAAGGTACATAAAGATAACATAGTCTACAAATGGTGAAAGATCAAATAACAAAGTCTCCATTTGTGCCTTAACTCGTTAATTGACACACTTTTATTTAAGAATAACGGGAGCATTAGATAGATTTACTAAAAGACAAAACAAAAACTTGCAGAAATGTTTTTTTACTTCTAGTCTGAAATTACAGATTCAATTTTGTTTTTAAAAAAAAATTAATGTATGAATAAACTTTCTTTCTTTTCACTCTACTCCCCTACGTCTACTATAAGAGGAAAGGAATAGAATGAGACAAAAGAAACATACCATAAAACTTGAATAACCTTTCTTCTTCAATTATGTTTGATCCTTTGTGTTCACAAAATAATGAAATATTCCTAGATATTTCTGATTTTGTACCTTTAACTCAATTTGAAGGTGGTCAAATAACCCCAACATTATTAGAGCAACATAATAATGATCTTGATAATCTCCTTAACCAAATCCCCTCTTTTATAGATGACCCTCCTCTAACACCAAACCTTAATCGTAAAAAACGATCATTAGCCATTGATCGTGATCAAGAAAACAATGGCATAAACCCTTACGATAGCAAGAAAAAGCAGAAGATTATACATAGAGAGATCGAACGAAAACGAAGACTTGAAATGTCTTCCCTTCATACATCTCTAAAATCTCTACTTCCTGTTGAATACACTAAGGTAAATACTCTCTCGATTTCGTGTCACCTATACACTTTACTAACTTTTAAACTTTGTATTACATGCATTTTTATTACTTATTGTATGATTTTAAAATGTGGTTAGATTATTGCAATGTATAATTACCGATCATTTCTCAATGCATAACTCTAACAAAAAAGCTATGAGTAGTTTATTATGTTTTATTCTTTGGAAAAGTGTATGTGCGCTTGGGAAGTAGAAAAATATCAAAAAATATATTAGTTGTCTAGACTTTTTTTTTTTTTTCAAAAAATAGACAATTATGTTAGAAATTTGTGTAATTATCTCTAGCTAGTAAGCTCATTAATTACTTGAAGAAACTGTGTGATCGGAAAAAAACGTAACATGCTAAGTTTTGCATTGTGGGGGCTTTGTTTTGAATACTTCTTCTATATTAATTTTGTTGTTCAATAATTTTTTTTGAATACATACTTGGTAGAGCATAAATTAAAACTAATCCGCTTAATCTATTGATTGAGTTAGTTTTTTGATGATTATATAGTATGTATTGAACTTTTTGGACATGAATTTTACTAACAAAAGTAAGAATGATCTCTACTCCGTAGTTAATAAAAAACTTCGATTGTTAAGAAATTTATTCGAAATTTGAATTTGGATGGAAATAAAAACAAATAATTTTGTAGGGAAAGCGGTCGATATCGGATCATTTGGGAGAGGCAGTGAAGTATATACAGCAAATGCAACAAAAGATGAAAGTGTTGAATGAAAAAAGAGATGCCCTTAAAGAGGAAGTGTCAAAACTTGAAGGGCACAAAAAAAATGTTAGTGATGTGATTGTGAATGTTTTGAAAGAAAGTGTAGAGGTGATTGTGAGTACTTATTGTAGAGATGATGATGAAAATGAAGGTCAAGGGTTACCTCTATCAAAGGTTCTTCAATGTCTAGTCCAAGAAGGGTTAGATGTGGTCAGTTCTTCTTCAAAAAGAGTCAACAATATTTTTGTTCATTCTATTCAAGCTCAGGTATTGTACTCTAATGTTACACTCTTTGTCTACTAATCGTCACATCCTCTCATTCCCGCTACCAAGTTAAATATTTTCAATAAATGATTTTGTCGGAAAATAATTTTGACACACCTTTAATTAATTTTGTATATTAGTACTCTTTTTTTTTATAATAAAGAGTATCGTAACTATATTGTCATAAAGAGTGTCAAAATCATGTCGAGACAACATTTAATATTGTCTTGGAGGAATCGTAACCCTTGTTTCTAAATGAAAGGAATATCATATAAGCTATCATAATTAATTTGATTGATTGATCTTTCAATAAAAAAAATAATTTGTTTGATTATCATGAGACAATGACGGCCGACATCTCAATGATTTTATTATTATCATATAATTTTTCATCTATTTTGTTTGGTGGTATGGTTGAGAAAATATTTTCATACATAATTGACTTTACTGACCAATTATTTTAATCTTAATGACAGGAAGGAGAGGATGGCAAGATTGCCATTGATGCAACAAATCTGAAGAATAAAATACTACGTAGTTGATATCCAGAGATGAACGTTATTGTATTTTAAATTATTATTTGATTTTAAACTTTGAAAATAAAGAGTGATGGGGAATTTAGGAGTGATGGGTGTACCTGGTGTTATGAATTTATGATGTTTAATGTGCTAAATAAATAGGATCTTGCACTACCCAAGATTATTTGATTTTGTGTCGCATAGTGGACCCATGCTTATCTAAGACATGACTTCATTTTGATATCAACAAAGCTCTAGTGACCAACTTACACCATCTCTATTGGTGAGACTCACTTTGAGTATTGAAATACAAAATGTGTTGTTTTTTACCTTTAATGATGATACCCAACACACTTTTCAATTTAGCAACTCATGTGAAGTCTAATTTCTCAATGGTGAGACTCTCTAAAGTATACTAATGTTACTTTCAATTTATGACCCATCAAATCCATATTGTAAGTTTTTCAAAAAAAAAAAAAAAAAAAAAAATTAAACTTAAATAAATTACAAAATATGTTATAATATTTGATAAAGGGCCCACATACACTTTTTGTCAAATGAGACTCAAAGTTGAGTATCTAAACTTAGCAATTTTCTTTTAGAGTTGCTAAGTTTAAATACCAACTTATTGGTATCCTTTGCAAAAAATACTCTCTCTCTCCTAAAAAAAACTCCCTTAAGTCTCACCTTGGAGATAGTCTAACGCCACAAATAAATTTGGGCAATCTGCAGTAGCGAAGGCAGGATTTGAAAATTAGGGGACGAGACTTAACCTATTAAGTCAACACTTTTGTTTCATAAAAAGACGATTGTTTCGGGTTTTTTTGAATCCCTCGGGAGAGTTACAATACGGAGTATGTGCGCCTGACGTCTGTACCTGCAAAACCACGAAACTCTGGTTGGGTGGAGTTCCGCCTCCGACGATCAAGATAGTATGATTCCGGATGGGTAAAAGTGCGGAAAGTAAATAGGGTTTTCTCCCTGATTTAGAGAGATTCCGCAATTAATATTGCTCGGGTTTTGTGTCTGTATTTCTGCCTCTCCCATAAATGAGGATGCTTCCTCTATTTATAGCAGATGAGAATCTGCTCTCCCATTGGGGGTACAATGCCATGTGGCATCCTCTGATTGGATCCCTTTGGGCCTGTATGAGGGTGACACGTGTCGGTCCCTCATTGGGCCACGTGGCGGGGGGTAATTTTTACCCCAAACAACGACAACAAAAAAAAAAAGATTTAGTTTTTATACAAATTAAATTAATAAATAAATATTTCATTTTATAAATTATCAACGATAAGAAAATGATTCTACTGACTAAATTACCAATTATAATTAATGTTAATCCACAACTTCTGCATTTTAAAATATTTTTTCGGGGTCTACTTAGGAAATCAAAAGGCCTCCACCAACCCTTGGCTCCACTCCCTGCTTATATTATCACCCTTTGCTAAGAGATCCCGAGGGACATCACCAAAGGTTAAGTTATTTAGTCGAAAGATGGTATGGACTATGGGGTATTACTTTGTGTGAACTTAACCTAGTTTCACATTAACAAGAGGAAGATGAATGTTTGGTTAATTAAGATGGTTGTTTAAACTACATTACTACATCTATAATTAACACCTAATTTATTTATCTTTTCAAAAGTGTTGTAAACCCTAAGGATGTATTCTATGTTGTATGTAATGACTAATGAATGATACAAAAAATAGAGTAAAAGGCAATGTTAAATAAAAAATTTACGGCGGTGCCCCATAATATCTATGTAAATCGCTTCATAATCCCTCAAAATAAAAGTTATTGGCTATTAATTTGCTTGACTTCATTGACTAAGCTAGATTTATAAAAGTTGAATCAAACAAACAAAAACATTTGAATAACAATATTTGTTACTCAAATTGAGTAACCTGGGCTCCCTCATAAATTTGGGATCAAGATATTGGTGGAAATAATCTCTGACAAATGGAAAAAAGAAAAGGATCAATGTGAAAGCAGGGAGAATATTACTAATCCCTGAACCAATACATTTTATTTTGAGGGATTAACCCGAGAATTTAAGACCCGAACCCGAACATGAACCGACCTGGAGATGACCCGACCCGAATATGACCCGTAAATTATTGACCTGAACCATTCCCGACTTGAACCGAGATTGACCTAAACTTGTTTGAACCTGTCAAAACCCGAATTTAACCTGGTCTGTTACTAACCCGACCCGAATTCATCCTGACCTGTTACTAACCCAAATCGAATTTAACTCGACCTGTTACTAACCCAACCCGAATTTAACCCGACCTGCTACTAAACCGACCCGAATTTAACTCGACCTGTTACTAATCTGACCTGAATTTTACCGACCTATTACTAACCCAACCTGAAATTTAACCCGATCTGTTACTAACCCGAGCCGAAATCAACACGACTTGTTATTGACTCGACCTAAATTCAACCCAAATTGTTCCTGACCCGATTTCAAATCACCTTAAATTCAATTTAGACCACCTTATTAATATTGATCAAAGTATAGTTATATAGTTACGTTGTCACTTGTGTAGTTGTGTGCTTGTACAAACGAGTTACTATGATAAGTTCAATAGTCAATAGTTCAAAACATACGACTCCTTACATAGATTAATTATAGCTATTTGCTCATTTCTAATTGTTAGAATATATTTATCATATATACAATAATTAGAGAATATATGCTAAATATATTCTAAGCTACTCGTAAAGTCGTAATTTAGTAAGGCTAAAACTACTCTATATTAATATTGATCAAAGCATTTTGGCTTGGATGCAGGGAGACCAAGTCGGTCCAGGCCAGCAAAAGAAAGAAGCATCATCCCCAAATTTAAGAGTTAAATATAGTATATATTTGTTGTATAGTCAAAGGAGATAATTAACTTCCAAAATTATAGGCTATAGTTCCCTAGTATGTTGCCATATATATTGTTGTATAGTCAAAGAAAATAATTAGCTTGATAAAAATGATAATGATTTGTTTATAGTTAGCTAGAGTTTAGCCTATGATGATTGACAAAGGCATGTATATTGTATATATGCAGTTATTTTCTTAATGATAAGGAAGGAAGATATTCCCTTAATCTTTCAAAGGACTTTTTTTTCCCCATTTCTCCCTTAGACACAGTGGCGTATCCAGGATTTCCGAACTGTGGGTTCAAAATCTTAAAAAAAAAACGATGATCATATATTGATTAAAAATTCAATACATAAATTCAATTTTTTATTACAAATTATAATCATAGTAACAAAAGCTCTACAATCTACAATTATACACAAAATACACAATTAATTATCAATTAAAATCACAAGTCCCCAATAAACACAAATTTGACAATATAAACTTCTTCTAATTATCAAATTTCAATTAATAGAACAAGTAAAAATTTATAATTCTAAGTTTCTAACTTCTAACTTTCTACAATTCAATTTCTCAACAATTCAAGAATTCAACAATATATCAAAACCATAAACCAAATTAAAAAATAAAACAAGCAAACCAAGATTAAGAATTAATAGGAGTAGACTAGTAGAGGAATAAGAGATTAAGAGGACTCACAATTGTAGAACTAGAAGAACTTGAAATCTGAACTCAGAAGAGTAGAAGACAGAACAGTCGTGAGTCGTCCCTCGTCCACTCGTCCGTGTCTCCGTCACTCCGTGTGGACGTGAGGTGGTCGCCGGTCGGTGTCTCGGTGTGCGGTGCCGCGGCGGCTAGTGGCTACTGGCTAGGGTCATAGGGTGTCAAGCAAGGTTAGGGTTTTGGTGTTTGGGAATTTGGGGAAAAAAAACTTCTTCTAGTTAATCATCAATTATAATCATAGTAACAAAAGCTCTACAATCTACAATTATACACAAAATACACAATTAATTATCAATTAAAATCACAAGTCCCCAATAAACACAAATTTGACAATATAAACTTCTTCTAATTATCAAATTTCAATTAACAGAACAAGTAAAAATTTATAATTCTAAGTTTCTAACTTCTAACTTTCTACAATTCAATTTCTCAACAATTCAAGAATTCAACAATATATCAAAACCATAAACCAAATTAAAAAATAAAACAAGCAAACCAAGATTAAGAATTAATAGGAGTAGACTAGTAGAGGAATAAGAGATTAAGAGGACTCACAATTGTAGAACTAGAAGAACTTGAAATCTGAACTCAGAAGAGTAGAAGACAGAACAGTCGTGAGTCGTCCCTCGTCCACTCGTCCGTGTCTCCGTCACTCCGTGTGGACGTGAGGTGGTCGCCGGTCGGTGTCTCGGTGTGCGGTGCCGCGGCGGCTAGTGGCTACTGGCTAGGGTCATAGGGTGTCAAGCAAGGTTAGGGTTTTGGTGTTTGGGAATTTGGGGAAAAAAAAAACTTCTTCTAGTTAATCATCAATTATAATCATAGTAACAAAAGCTCTACAATCTACAATTATACACAAAATACACAATTAATTATCAATTAAAATCACAAGTCCCCAATAAACACAAATTTGACAATATAAACTTCTTCTAATTATCAAATTTCAATTAACAGAACAAGTAAAAATTTATAATTCTAAGTTTCTAACTTCTAACTTTCTACAATTCAATTTCTCAACAATTCAAGAATTCAACAATATATCAAAACCATAAACCAAATTAAAAAATAAAACAAGCAAACCAAGAGTAAGAATTAATAGGAGTAGACTAGTAGAGGAATAAGAGATTAAGAGGACTCACAATTGTAGAACTAGAAGAACTTGAAATCTGAACTCAGAAGAGTAGAAGACAGAACAGTCGTGAGTCGTCCCTCGTCCACTCGTCCGTGTCTCCGTCACTCCGTGTGGACGTGAGGTGGTCGCCGGTCGGTGTCTCGGTGTGCGGTGCCGCGGCGGCTAGTGGCTACTGGCTACGGTCATAGGGTGTCAAGCAAGGTTAGGGTTTTGGTGTTTGGGAATTTGGGGAAAAATGTCTGATGTTTGATTTTTGAAATATGAAATATTGAAATGTGAATGTAAGGAGTAATAAAAAAAAAAAAAAAGTACAAAAAAAAGAGGGCAGTAGGAGTCGAACCTAAGACCTAATATATTAAAGGGGCGCGCTGCTCTATTATTCAGAGAATTACCAATGCACCAAACTTACCCATGTGATAATTATTCTCACAAAAATTTCTTTTAAACCTTTTTTATTTTTTTTTTAAAAAAAATTAAAATTTATAATTTTTTTCCAAAAAATCTGTGGGTTCAATGAACCCCCTTGAACCCCCCCTAGATCCGCCCCTGCTTAGACATATATCATGATGATGACCTTTGTGATGTTCTGTCAACAAAACAGAGATAAAATAGATGAGCAATTACTATTTTATTTATAGAACATCCATAGTAGTAGTAAGATGAAACCGCTGAAGTAAATATAGCACGGGAGAATTTTATCTATGGGAAATTTTTTTCATGAATTTGCTTTGAGTTCCTTAGGCTTGGAAAGTTAAAAGCTTAACATTATATCCCTCACTAACACTATCTGTGCTTTGCTTACCATAATTACCTCATGTATGTCTAATACAACTCCTATGTCTATTACCATGTTCGACACTTCATTTCAATCGAAGTGCCCTTGATTATTGACAAATTGACACTCTTGCATGGGCATGGGCGCCTGACCCCTCATACGCAGCTGTTAATGTTCAAAATACTCTTGCATGTGCATTCTAAATGTAGTCAATTACAGATTACGAATACTATTTGACCTTAGGCTTGTTTGTTTCATCTTATATTTTATAAAAAAAAAATTATAATTTCATATAAAAAAAAATAATTTCGGATAATGATTGAATTGAACGTGATAATGATTGAATGCGAGCATGAGTATATGACAATGACATGATAATAATCTGACCTGAATAATTTACCATCGATCATGACTTGACTTGTTTGGACTCAAGAAAATGGTGACCCGAACTAGAGCTGTTAAAAGGCTTTTATTGGTCTTTTATTTTTCTAATTTTATTATTCATTTACCTATTTAATCTTATTTAAATGTTTTAAATAATTCCATTCAAATGTTTTAAAAAAAAATGTCATTAAAAAAAAAACGTGAACTCGGATATGAACTCATAAAAAATAAACTAGTTTAGATAATTTCAAATAAAAAAAGTTTAGAAAAAAAAAGTAATTGTATTTTAACTTATCTAAACTAAACCTATTTTAACCGAATTTATATGAACTTATTATATTTTATCTAAACTTATTTGAACATGTCATCTCGAATATGAACTTATCTGAAATTGTTATCCTTAAAATGAGTGGAATCAATGTGAATATATTAGAATAGGGTTTGAACTTATCTTCTAAAAATCTAAACTAAACCTATCTTAATGGAATTAATATGAACTTATTATGTAGATCTTATCTAAACTTATTAGAGCTTATTAGCTCGAATTTAAACTTATTTGAAATTATTTCTCTTACAATAAATGAAGTAATTTATAATGGTTAAATGTGAACGTCATTACATGAACTGTTAACAAACCGACCCAAAAAATGTACCCAAACCCAATATGACCCGACCTTAAATCAACTCGAAACCCAGATTAACCAAATATTTGAGACCCGAACCTGAACACGACCTGACTTGAAAATGACCCGACTTAATTATAACCTACAAATTATTGACTTGAACCAACCCCGACTTGAACCTGAACATGACCCGACCTGATTGTAACCCGCAAATTATTGACTTGAACCCAAGAATGACCCGACCTGATTATAACCTGCAAATTATTGACTTGAATCGAACCCGACTCAAACCCGAGAATGACCCGACCTGATTATAACCCGCAAATTATTGACTTGAACCGAATCTGACTCGAACCCGAGAATGACCCTAACCCGTTTTAACCCGAATTTAACCGACCTATTATTCACCCAACCCGAATGTAACCCGACCTGTTATTAACCCGACCCAAACCCGATAAGATGTATGACCCGACTTGACCCGCCTCAAGAATGACCCAACCCGAACTCGACCCGCATAGGTTACGACATTAACCAAAATTGATCCGACCCACATTTACTCAATCCAAACCTGACCTATAGAACGGAATTGACAACTTTACACATGTTAGTAAACTTCAATACTACAAAAATGGCCTAGGAGATTGGGCAAAATATGCCTAAGAAACCGGAAAATTTCGGTGCCTAGGTAGTAGGTCTCTTACCCTAAGAGACCGGAAATTTGGTCAAGTATCTTAGAGTAAGCAAACAAACCAGTTATTTCTTAAAACAGGTCTCTTAGATTCTTCCAAGAGCATAAAACAACCAAGGCAAAGGCACCGAATATTTTTGCATCACCGGTTTCCTAGATATTGTTTAATACACCTGTTCCAAGAGATAACCACTCTTTGATTATTTTTTGAAAAAAAATAAATAATGATTTCAAGGTTGTTGCTTTGTCCCACGATTAATGCTCCACATATATCAACACTTATTATAGATTTATCTAATTAAAAACATACAGAGTATGAATTAGTCAAGCCCAATTACAAATCTTAATTATTAAAACTGTAATACTTCGTACATCAAAGATTCAAAGCAATAAAAATGCATTACTCTAATACATGAGCCTCTAATTTTCATAATTCAAAGCAAATACATATCGTCGACTATAACATTGATCTTGACCAGATTCATGCAATTAAGCTGCTTCATTTCACCTCTTTCAATTGCATACATATCCATTGTAACTTAATCAGATTCAGTGTATATACTGCAAAAACATAATAGTACATGTAAGTCGATTGAATTTCAAAAAACAGATTTAATCTTCTGTCAAAAAAAAAAAAAAAAAAAAAAAAAAAAAAAACAGATTTAATCAAATACTTCAAAATATGAAATTAAATTGAATTTAAATAAATCAAAATTGCATACGAAGTCGAATTTTTGTGTGTATAAAATTTTCTGGAAGCATTTCTCATACTTGAATTATATGGGTTTTTGCTATGGACCTAAGATTACATACACAAAAAAAAAAAAAAAAAAAAAATGTTTCGAGGTTCATAGAAATTTTTTATTACGAAATCAATTTTCTTTCTTGAATACTACTATTAAGTGAGCATTAACAAGATTAAAAAAAAAACTGAGATAGATGAAATTAATTTGTAAAAATAAAAATTTACCATGTATTTAAATTGAAAGCGGCTTACCTGGAATTCGACGGAGGTTATTGACGATCTCGTTGGAAATACGACGATGGGACGAAATGACGATAGCTCGAAGCGTATCAAGTTCTTAGAAGTTGTTAATCTGTTAAGGTTTTTTTTATTATGAATGAAAGAGTTAAGTGATAAAAATTATTAAGGAACAATAGAAAATTTAGAAAATGAAAATGAGTAAAGGGGAATTGCAACTATATTACCGAGAATTTTTTTTGTTTTGTTTTTGAGAGCATATTACTGAGAAATTAATGGGAGGTTTTTCTTTTTTATTTTCTGTATTGAGGTGGGCTGTTTTTTTTATGGAGAATAAGGGGGGCGGTAAGGCAGTTTTTATGGTGTCTTTTTTGTAGTAGTTCCTTAGGCCTTTTTTTGTAGTGGTGCTTCAAGAAAATGAAAACAATAAAGTAAATAAATCAAATATGAATTAACATATAGATTTGGGACCAAACCCTCATAACTATCAACTTTTCATGTCGAGGTCGAATGCAACGTCGAGTATGGTTTGGGGTATTCGAATCACGCAAAGGAAGTATTGCGTTTGTTTTGGGGTGTTTAGGCTAAGAGCATTGGAATTGAGAATTTCGGGTGTGATGAACTCTGGGTTATGAGGATTATGATGAATGTTGATGATTGTTGTTGATGGTTGTGACTAATTTGAAAACGGAGAAACCAACCTCTATTTATAAGAAAAAAAAAAGAGTCTGAATGATCAGAAAAGATCATAAGTTCTAAATAAAATAGAACAACTTTTGACGTGACGCGATAGGATTGTTGCGTCGCGCTAGGTGCTGTCGCGCCACGTCAAGACTGTCACAGTGCGATGGTCCTGACGTTGTGCGTTGTTCTAAAAGATTGCAAAGTTGTACGGAGTTTGATTTCTAGTGGAACTATGTTTGTAGAAGATATTCGAACGTCTTTGTATTCGAATAGAACAAGGATTATCATTTGAGAAGTTTTATTCAATTTTGAACTTCTTTGATCTTTATCTTTTTGGAAAGGATATATATAGATTAGAACCTTCTAGAGGATTCTAAAAGTTCCTAACTAATTAGGATTGGGAATATGATCATATAGGGCCTAAACAAAATATTTGGACCCCATATAATCATTGGGTCATAGGTAAGGTGGACCTAGACTCGACTTGGGCTCGGTTTAGTATTTTGGACATAACTTATTCGTTTTAAGTCGAATTTGGGCTTATAATATATCGTTGGAAAATTCTTTTCAAGCCTCATCCAACTAAGAAATAATTGGACCAGGAATATGGACCAAAATAATCAGGTTTGGACGTTTTTGTAATTTAGGAACAAAATGAATGTTTTTAAAGACACGAAATGGATGATTTTGGTTTAAGGACACGAAATGAATGATTTTGAATTAAACATTTTAAGTAAGGTTAGAAATATGGTCGAGGCTTAAGGAAACTTTGCGAGACTATTCAACTCTTTATCGAACTCGTTAATCTAAACATGAAAGGTACTCATCACTAGGTTTGGTTTTTGGGGAGACACAATTAAGTGTCTACAGGTGATAATGTGCACAAGTAAAATTGTGTGGGTGATGAGATGTGCATCACAAAATGATGTAAAAGCAAAAGTAAATTTCGTAGAGGTCAAACGTGAAGATTGAATAGTCATTGTAATCCAATTTGAAGAAAAGGGGCGTGTTGGAATATTTGCTTCAAATTGTTAGTGGTTAGTTAACTCCTAATGTATAGGAATATGTTCTACTAAGTATTAGTTTGTGTTAGTGGAGTCATAATAGTTGTGGGTTAGTTTAGTGGGTTAATGTTAGCATGATCAATGATCATGGGATCATGTTTCTTACTTATAGCTTAGTTATTTTGCACTATATATATGTTGCTATGTAGTACGTTTTTCATTGGATTGAATATATAAAAGTTATTCTTTCCCTTCTCTCATCTCACTCATTATAATTTTAACAAACTAGGGTTACTCACAAGTGTAAAGTTGAACCAAATGTAGACTAATTTTTGAACACCAGATCGATTTGGATTGGTTTTAGATTTTATTTTATAAACGTATTAAACTTTTTGTATAATACTCCATTCGTTCTTTTTTGCTCTTCCCATATGATATCTTGGCACTATTTATACGATGAAATAATCTTCTAAATTACTCACTATATATAAAATACAATATATATAGTCATGTTGAATTCTAAACTGAATTATTATTATTATTATTATTGTTGTTGTTGTTGTTGTTGTTGTTGTTGTTGTTGTTGTTGTTGTTGTTGTTGTTGTTGTTGTTGTTGTTTTTTAAAAAAAAAACTGACATAGTCAAACAACCTACAAAACATTTGTGGGAAGTTGAGATACAATCTGAGCTCCCACTCCTCTAGCTATAGCAAATTCTAATCCTAGTGAAGATATGGGTTACAGCACGTGCCCCAATGTCTTGAGTCTTCGAGAATTTTTGAACCCGCTTCAACAATGCAACATCCCCCCTTCTCTAATTCCCCGAGAGAAGAAAAGGAGAAAGGAAGGAAACCGTACCTAATCACCCGACAACTAGCTTCATACTTAACCCGCTTACGATGAGCCGCATCAGTCACAACCCGGCCAGGAACAAAGTCATGCAACTCAGACTGAGTCAAAGGAGGTTGAAGACCCTGTCAAATCAACACACTCATCGCGACCCCGCTCCCAAGAATAAAGTAACACATCTGCAGGTCCGAGGCCCCGTCGTTCCCCCCAAACAAGCTAATGTTAACCTCCTTTTATTTCTTGCTGAAATCCCAGACCGATAGCAAATATCCCAAGCAAAAACCCTTGAGCAAGGAGAGCACGACGCCAAAATAGAGAACAAAGGTACACCCAACCGGTAACACAACACAATTCACAATAAGTCTTAGTGTTTATCATCTGACCCAACCCCGAAATAGGGACCGCCCGAAGCCAAGCCGAGGTGTATTCTCCTTGTTGTGACTTCCACAACACAAACTGATGAGGAGGTAAAGAAAATGCGGATTCCGCAAACGCAGTAACCTTTGTGAAATATATATCTGCCAATTTCTTCATAAATTTTGGGGCAGCGACCTCAATAGGATTACTTAAAGTGTCATACTCCACATTTCTATTAAATAAACTCAGCCCATTGTCAAAGGCGCGGCCAGAGCCAACAATACCATCATGCCGTAGAAGCATAGTTTGCAAGCCAGTAGACTATAAACGAGAAGCGAGAAAAGTATAGTGCCTAACAACACTCGCGGAATAAACACCTAGCCCACCAAACGCAAAAGGTAAAGTGGCAAGTCGCCACTGCCATTTGCTAAATCGTGGCCCCAAAGTAGTAACAATCTGCTCTAAGGAAAACTGGAGAACTCCATCAAATGAGTAGTAGCAGCAGTAGTAGCAAGAGTAGTAGCACCAATAGCAGGAGTAGCACCAGCAGCAGTAGTAGTAGCAGGACTAGCATTAGTAGTAGTAGCAAGAGGAGCAGTAGCAGTAGCAAGAGCAGTAGCAGCAGTAGTAGTAGCAACAATAACAACAACAGTAGTAGCAGCAGTAGTAGTAGCAGTAGTAATAGTAGTGGTAGCAGTAGTAGTAGCAACAGTAGTAGCAGTAGAAAATACGTCTCAAAAATACGGGGTATTACAAGCCCATCCACCAAAACTATCCTTTACGCCACCCCCACCGTAAATCACCATCAAGCACCACCAACCACCAAATTAATTACCACCAAAAACAATTTCCCCTGCAACAACCATACCAACAACTGTAGAACTGGAAGATGAAGTGAGAGACGTCGAAGAGGGAGGAGATGCGGTTGATGGCGGGGTAGCAAATGGGATGCAGGTGTGACGTCGCAGTAGAGGGAAGGGAGATGAGGTGAGGTGATAAGGAGGTGGTGGAGGTCGGGGGTTGCTGTGGTTATGGTGCAGCAGTGAGAAAGTGTTGGGTCCATGGTGGTTTTAGGGAAGAGAGAGATAGGAGCGTGTGATATGATTATGGTATGCAACTTCCAACTTAGTTTAGATGTTGAAATTTCTGGGAGGTGGGGGTGATGATGACTGATGAGGTGGTGGACAGAAAGGGTGGCCTGGTCAGTGGCAGAACCAAGGGGGGTTGTGTTGGGCCATGGCCTCCCCCTTGGTTTTGGTATGTATTAAAAATTGCAATAATTTATATTAAGTGTGTTATAGTTCAGTTGATAATAGAATAATTAGATCTATTTTAGAGGTCTTAAGTTCGAAACTTGCTCCTAACATTTCTTTAGCTTTTATTTAATATTGCTCCTCATATTTTTTTTTCAATATTATATTTGTGCACAATAATACATATATTATGTTTGGCCCTTCTAATAAAAAATTATGGCTCCGCCCCTGGGCCTGATTATTAGTGGTTGCGAGTTTTGGGGGTGGTGGTAGTGGCTATGGAAGGGGCTGAGGTTGTAGGTGAATGGTTAATTAAATTAAATAAATAAAAAGTTAATTCTCTAGGAAAAAAAATTAAATTGATATCACAGGTTGTAGGTTAAAGAGACTAATTTTAGAAGGAACCCCTATAGTTGAGATAGATTATTCTAATTTAAACTGTAATTGGGATTAAAATGAGAAGGGAGATAATATTTTGGATTATTTTGTTAATTTTTCCAAAACTTTCATATTATCTCCAAATTATGATTTAAAACAAACTATTCCAAACCAATCAAATGAAAATTTCTTGTTCGTCACGCCTACTAACCAATTGGTAAAGGGTCATACTATTTTAGTTTTATATAGTGGGATTTGTTGTATGATAGTGATATAACATTCAACATATAAACAAATAAACAATCACAGATTAGTTAGTTTGATGTTATACCCCTTCAAATTCAATCACAAGTTTCACAGTAACGAGCGAGACAACATTGTTACTTTATGACATTTTTTCAACAAATGCAGCCCCTAATACTTCCTCCGTTTTTTTTAGTTACATTACTTTTTTAAAACGAAAGTTCGAATTAGTTGTATCACTTTTCTTTTTAATTAATAGACTCTCTCTAATTCTCTAACTCTCTACTATCACATGGGTCCATCTTTTTCTATATTCACTATCTCTCTTATCTCAAAAAATTGTCTAGGAGTCCAAAACAAAGAAAGTATATTTTACGTACTATTTATTCAAGGAATTCGATTTCTTTGTTTCTCTCTCTATTTTTTTTCCAAATTATTTTTTCCCAAATATTTTATGATCGATAAAAATAGAATGCAATAAGTATTACTCCATCCGTCTCATAATAAAAAGTTTGCTTTCCTTTTTAAGTAAACCAAAATACAATACATGTTTCTATTTAAAGGTTATACTTTTTGACATTATTACCCTCTTTTTGATGAGTTGTCATTTTTTTCCTTTTCTTTTTTGTATTTTTGACATCAATTTCCAACACTTTCTCTCTCTATCTATTCAATTATTCTCAACTACTTTTTCTTTCTCTCTATTTCTCTCTGACCCCACATGCATATATGTAATTCTAATCATTAGTTTCAATGAATTTATAACTTTCTTAATTCCCGTAAAAAAAAACCCAAATAGATTTTGTATTGTGAGACGGAGGGGGTACTAATTTGCTATATTATTGGTGGGCTGCTTTACGCCTTCACCTATACTTGTATTAATATGAAGTTTTAAACATGTGATTAAATGAATCTGAAATATATGGCTTTATTGTAATTAAGCACGTTTAAAGCGCCTCTTCGACTTTTTCTACACTAAACTGAGAAACCAAGATAAAAGTATTGTAAATGACTGATTGAGCATGTTTGAATTTTTAAAGTTAGTTATTTTTGCCTTTTATTTTCTTGATCTAAGGCAATTTCAAAACCCCTCCAGGCCTCGATCTTGCATTTTTCATATTATCAACGGACAACGGGTTCAATACTTGTTGGGAGGGTTAATGGCTATAATCATATACTACGTATATTTTTATGATATCATGATAAATTTTAACTTTTAACTTTTAAGTACGTATTGCACTAAGCAAAAATCTGCATAATAAGAAGAGAGATTGACAGCACAATGTCAAAAACACATTAGTAACAATTTAAATAACCCACCGACTTTATGAGTTAATCATCTCTTTATTATTCTGGCTAGGATAATACTCATAATAGTCTCAAGTCACATATCACATGTGGGTTAACTTAATCACTTTAGAAAAAGTCTCTCTCTCTCTCTCTCTCTCTCTTTTTTTTTTTTTTTTTTTTTTTTTTTTTTTTTTTTTTTTAAGGTTGTTGACAAATAGCAAAAGTCTAAATTTAACCCTTGAGATGGGTTGTTACTTTACAGTAAGGGCATGTATTGTTCACCTTAGATTCACTTATTTCAAGTTTAATAAGTTCAGATAAGTTAAGTTCAAAAAAAATATTTTTGATATACATAAATACGAATTACTACTAACATAAGTTTAGGAAAATGGTTTCCAATCAATCTTAAACAATCAGAACCCTAACGTAACATAAAAGAAAAATGTAACTCTTGAAAGATCGTAAATATGAAATAGAGGGAGTATTGGTACCGAGGTGCATGTTAAGTTAGATAACCCGAGGAATTGAAACTAATGATTAAGTTAGTTCCAAATAACGTTAGTTCTGCGTGTATATAAATCTCACATTATTGTGGACCAGGTCCACGCAAGAATTTCTAATTACTACATAAAAAAATATAATAAATATTAATCCCCAATCACCCCAACTTTCTACTTACTTCATAAAAAATTATAATAAATATAATTTTTTTTGTCTATCTTGCATCTAAATCACATCCAAATTCCAAATTATCATATTATTATGATGAGATACTATACATGCATTGTTATCGTCCTCAATTATTTGAATTATTATAATTCCAAACATTTATATATACATTTAATTTTATGTTACAATCACTATAAATTGCTATAAATCACGAAACCTTAAACAAAAATCCAAAGAACAAAACTTTACTCAGACTTTATCAACCTCGTACTATTAATAATCCATGGACCGCAATCCTCCAACTTCATCGGATCCCTTCGATTACGATTTGATATCACTAGATGATGGGCTAATGCAGCTTATCAATAATGTTTTTCCACAAACCCCTCAAAATCATGATGTTTCAGCTTTGTCAACTACTTCAACAGAGAATCAAGCTCAGTATTCTCATGATAATCAATTGAGTTTTAGTAACTCATTTCATGCTTCAACTCAACTACCTCAACATAATGTTGTGGAGTTCAACTTTGCCTCAGCCCCCGCCCCAGCCCCTACCCCAGCCCCGGCCCCGGCCCCGAATAAGGATGAGGCCGGGAAGAAGAAAGCGAAGGCCATGGAAATCGAGCGGAAGAGGAGGCATGATATGTCCTCCCTCTACCAAGAACTTCGGTCGTTACTACCTCCTGGACTTATTAATAAGGTCAGAACTACTTTATGTACTTCTCGTGATTGTATTAAAAAATATTTTCGCATTAATGTGATCATTATTGTTCTCTAGAATTTTCGTGTTTGTGATAGATTTGTTACAATGGTTCAAAAAATGAGCCCCTATATACTACAATATATATCGAATTAAGATTATTGTTATTTATATGGTTAATAGAGCTAAGAGTAAGGCCGTTTTTTCCTAATGTATATGTTGCATTATTGTCCGATTGATGTAGCAGAAGAAACAGTCGATTTCGGATCTCTTGCAAGTGACAACAAACCATATAAGCAGCGTGGAGGAGGGAATAAAAGCACTAAATGATAAAAGAGATGAATTATTGAAAATGACATCAGGTGCTGGAAGTTCAAGCAGTAGTAGCACTTCAAAACAGCAGCAAAGTCATCATGTGACAGTAACACCTTGTAAAGATGGACTAATTGAAGTTATTGTTAGTACAAGTGTATTGGATAACGACGATCATGAAAATAACAGAGGTTTTCGCCTTTCGAAAATGCTCCGTTTACTCGGTGCAGAAGGGCTAAATGTGATCAACTGTGTTTCATCAAGAATTGGCAGTAATGTGGTTCACACCATACACGCACAGGTAATATATATACGTACGTACTTCATGTATTGCCCCCTCCATCCCCATAAGATTGCCCCGTTAGAATATATATTATATTACTGGTTTAAAACGTGTTTTAGACATCATAAAAGTTTTACCAAGCAATTTTTAAGGGCCGACAAAGGAAATAAACCGTATTACTTATATGATATGTATATATTTTGTTTGTATTTGTAGTTGATCTGATTATCAGTGACTATGTTCCTGCAGGGTGATGATGGGAGAGGCATTGATCTATGTCTATTGCGGCAGACATTGATGGATCACTCATGAATTATTATGAATGATAAAATTAATAAAATCATATTCTCATACTATTTTGTACTATATTATTATAATATATGAGTATGTGGCTTTATTTTCCTTGGCGTAATTATTTTCTTAATCTATTTTAAGAGGCATCTTAGCCTAGTTTTTAAGTAGGACAAAGAGTTGGACGAATTTTATTGAGAGTAGGTACAATAGTATTTCCCCTGGCCTATTATTCCTTAATTAATGTACTTTTTATTTGTTATAAAGTGGGATGTTTCTTATATAAAGTGGATCATGTAACCCACTAGATTAGATCATTGAAGTATAGATAAGTAATTAAGTATCAAATACTTCCTTTTTTTACAAAAATACAGTTGTTTGGGAAGGCTATGCCTCAACACTCACCATTACATGTAAAGTCTCTCAGCTCTAATATTGTCAAATATGATGTTTCATGGGTCAAAGCGCATTGTTTCACTCAGCTCTCCTCAGATGGATAAGTTGGCCTAGCTGTTATTGACCTGGTTCCGACACCATGCATGTTAAATTCGGGCAGATGCCACACCTTCACCAAGAGAAAAAGTCATTTCACAAGTTCAAAGAGATTCCATTCCAAAAACATATGGCGATAGGATGGAGGAGTAGCCCCTTAACTTTATAAAATGTTTTGTTCTCCCATCTTTTATCAATGTAAGACATATACATGTATTTTTGAGAAAGTTATGCCAACATATAAACCTGTATTTAACTTGAACTTTTGAGTTAATTGGAAATAAGGTGATATGAATATAATATGAATTTGATTACTTCCATCGTCTTTTATTAGATGACTCCTAGGCAATTTTTGGAGATGATAGAGATAGATAGAAAGAAAAAGGTGAGCCCGTGTGATATATATAAGAGAGATATATATAGAGATTTTACAAACCAAACAAGAAAGTGATACATTTAAATTAAATCTTCCAATTATAGAAAGTGATGCATCTAAAAAATATTAAGGAAGTATTTTTTTATTGTTCACATTATGTTCACATATTCGAAAAAATAAAACTAAATAAGATTTAATAAGTATGGACAAATAAGATTAAATAAGGGTTAGGGTTACTCAATTTCAATACACACTTAATAGAATTTAATAAGATAAATAGTTAGCTTTTTAGATATATCTTGATAGTGATGTATAAGGCCTAGTTTACTTCACCTTATTTTTGCTAAACTAAAATTAATTTTACGGAATTAAAATTATTTTTGCTGAACTTAAATTATTTTTACTGAACTGAAATTATTTTTACTGAACTGAAATTAATTTTGTTGAACTGAAATTATTTTTACTGAATTGAAATTAATTTTACTGAACTGGACTTATTTTTGCTGACATGAAATTATTTTTACAGAATATTATTTTTTTAAGGTGAACTGAACAGGGCCTAACTCTTGTTAGAGCTTCCCTTGAGATCAAGACTTTCACTAATATATAAGGAAACTTTAATCCTTAAAAAAAAGTTACCTATAAAACCTAAATTACTTTTATTTTTATTGGTTATCTTTTATTTAATTCAAGGTTATTGTTGATTAGGACAACTTTACAAGGAACATGCAATGCAACAGTTTAGTCAATAAGTCTTGTGTAAGGCGAGTATACGTTAATTTAATTCTAAGACGATCAGTTTGAGGGTAACTTTAACTATTTTTATGGTATTTTTAACCTCTTAAAAGGTAACTTTTAATTTGCCATTGGTTTGAATTTTACACTACTAGAATCCGGGCAGAAAACGACAGTTTTTCTATGACAGCTAGCAAAAATGTCGTAATATTTTAATTCTACGACGGTTTTTGTAACTGTTGTAATGTTACGACGTTTTTCAAACTGTCGTTGAGTTACGACAGTTTTTAGCCAATAAACTGTCGCAATAGACACTAAAAATAATTATAAAAAAATTTAATATTTACGACGGCTATAAAATTGTCGCAAATTACGACGGTTTTCAAAACTTTTGCAATTTGCAACAGCTTATGGCTGTCGTAGAGTTGATTTTTTATTTTATTTTTTTAAATTAATGGTATTTAAATACCCAATTCAACAAGCCCACACCAAACCCTAAATCCTCTTCCGCCGTTTCATCACCTCTTATTCTCTCTCCTCTCTACTTCCCCTCTTAATTTCTCTCTCCTCTCCTCCCCTCTCTTTTTCTCTGTTTCGCTCTCTTCTTCTCCACCTTCTCTCAGTTTCTCTCTTCTCTTTCAAGTTCTCTCTCCTCTTTCTTTCTCGGATCATCTCCCCTCTTCTCCTCCTCCCTTTCCCCTCTTTTTCGGTCTCCTCTTTGTTTCTCATTCTCCTTCTTTCCTCTCTTTCTCGTCCTCCATCTGTCCGCTCTTTCTTGTGTTCAAAAAAATGGCGAAGGAGGCTAAGAGAATTGAAATTCGTGTATTTGAGGTCCAATTTCGTGACGTTGAGGTTTTTTTTTTAGTCAAATTCGACCATAAAAATTCCAGATCTGGAGTTTTTATGGTCGAATTTGACAATCCTCACCCACATAGGAGGAAATTTTCGAAGGTATGTTTAATTTTTTGTATTTTTCATTTTTGTTATTGTGGTTTTTGTTTATATTCTGATATTTTTTTGTCTAAATTCATTATTTTGTGCTTTTATTGCCGTATTTTTTGTTGTTCGTTTGCTTTGTTTATATTCGTTTGATTTTTTTTCGTCTATTTTCGTGTTGATTTTCATTTATTTTAGTTTTAATTTGTTATATTTCGTTTATTTTCTTTGGATTTATTGTGGCTTGTTTGTTCGAATTTTGTACTGTTTCGATAATTTTTGTTTTTTTTTCGATTTTTTTTTTGTGGGTTTTTTATTATTTGATGTATATTTGTATTTCTTGTTTGATGTTTTAATTTGTTATTTTTATGTATTTTTATTTTATATTTACATTTATCTTTGTGTATTATATGTTGAGTTTATTTTGTTTGCGTTTTATTTGTCGGGGTTTAATTTTTAGATCAGATCTTAATGTTTCTTTGTTTAAGGTGGTGGTGGGAAGGGAGGGTTGTCGGTGGTGGGAAGGGGGAGTTAATGGTGGTGCGAAAGGTTGTTGTGGGGGTAGGGGGCAGGATGGCCTGGGTAAGGGGGGCAGGGAAAGGGCGTTTATTTTTTTTTTTTTTTTTTTTTTGCGACGTCCAGCCGTCGGTAAAACCATCTTTTACGACAATTTTGATTTATGTCGTAACTTACGACGGTTTTAAACTGTCGTAAAATAATTACAGCGACAAAATAAAAAAATTGTCGTTGAAATTAGTAAAACAGTCGTAATAAACTTTTACGACAGTCAAACTGTCGCAAAAATAAAATTTTATGACGATTCTGACTGCGACAAACGGCTTACGACAGTTGACTGTCGCAACTATTTTAATGGGTAATTTCTAATAGATTCATGATAACATACTATAAAGTTTAATATGAATAATATAATACGAGTTCACTATGAGTTTTTTGTAAGATAAAATTTATTATTAGAAAAATAATAACTTTTATAGTATTTTATTTTTTTATTTTTTTTGGCAGCAAACTTTTATAGTATAATGATAACTTTAAATATTTTTAACATAATTTTAACCCGTCTTACAAACGTTCGTGCGATTTCCTAAATATTACTGGTATTATTTGTTGGAATAAAGACACGAAATTCAAGGCGTCAGGATCGGTCGCCCAATCAGACGAAGTTCGCCCTACCGGGCGCAAGAAAAGTCATAGTTTTTGGAGTAATGTCGCCCGACCGGGCGAGCTCTGCCCTACCGGGCGCGAGAAGAACTCTAGAATAGACTTCTTGCTCGCCCGACCGACAAGCTCCGCCCGACCGGGCGCGAGTTTTCCCGTTGAGCTCCAACGATTCTCTCTTGGATCCTCCCTCTTGGCTTCTTGATTAATTCCTTGTAACCCCCATTTAAGAGGATGTTTAATGTGGTTTAATTACCACCTTTATTCTGATTTTATCACCCTTATTGATGTTGGAGATTCTTTTATGTTCTTTCATATTCTTTCATCCTTCATTATAAATAGAAGAATCATTTTTCTGATTTTGACACACATAAAAATACAGCAAACACTTAAGCTTAAACACATACTCTATATTGGACATAAGTTACTTGGCTCCAACCTTCCACCCAAAAGTGCCTTTGTGTGGAAGTGGTGTGTTAACCTTAGGGACCGTGCTCGCGGATACAATTGTTCACCTCGATTGCGCCGGAATTTCGTTTTCATGTCAGTGAATTTGCTTCACGATTCTTGTTCCATTGATTATAAGATCAACTTTTCGATCTTATTGTTTATTTCTTTTCGTAGCCTTAGCCTTGAAAACCTCTCATATTACAATAATTTGAAAACGAAATTATATATTTTCATTGGCTACACATTGGGCATTGGTCGAAAGATTGGATGGTGTGAAGAAAAATAATTTTTGGGAAAAATTTTGTTCACATGTTTTTGGGAGCAGTCCCAAAGATGGTCCCCGATCGAAGATCACTTGTTTTCGGATTTGGCTGAAATTTTGGGAGCTTGTTCGGGACATATGAGGCTTCATTTTCAACGGTTGGATCGTTGATAGCTTTTCAAGTTTTATATTTATGGTGATATCTTTAGGCTGCATATTTTGTGAGGATGTTTGGGCATATCATGCAAATGTTCTCTCACGTAACTTGATTAAATTCAAGGGAGGTCCATTCTAAACTAAGTCTTTTATTGATTATGTTAACAAGTGGTTGAATCTCTAATAATCTTATTGGCAATTATATGAATTTTGATTTTGACAAATGAATGTTAGATCATGTTTATTTGCTAATGTGAATATTAGAATAAAGGCTTATGTATATTCCATGTTATATAAGTGTGTGATATTACATGATATGATTATTTCTATTTCTTTGTTCTATACTTGTGGTTTGAACTTAATACTTAGAAATATGTTAATTGGTTTTATTTACCAATTTGTTGGATTTTTTTAACATATATGAATTCTTTTGTGCATTGAAAAGGTAAATGCTAGGCTATTGTATTTTAGAATAATATCTTTTTGAAAGATGTTTTGTTCCTAATGTTTACATGCACATGTTGGTAGATGATTCATGGTTAATTATGACTTATCAAAGTGTATGTCTTCTATGTTATACCATGAATTTTGTATGAGTATGTTTTCAAAGTCTACTATTTCTTATATGTTGAAATATATGTTTTGTGAAAACTTTATTAATGCTCAAATGCTTACATATTTCCATATGTCTTGAACTTGTGTAAGTTTTATCAAACTTTAGGTGTGGAAGTTCTTGAATGGGAATTGTTTGATTCTTTTGTGAGAGTTATATATGTATTTCTCCATATATAGGAGAATATTTTTGCTATAGTTGTTACTTCTTGTGACCCATATTTGTGTTATATAACTCTTGTTGTGTTGTATTAGTTAAAACATGACTATTAATTTTTATTTTGCTATTGATAAAATTCTTTTGGTGGCTATTTTTTGACATTTTGGTGTGTTAACTAATAAGTTATGTTAACCTTGTGGTGTAATATTTGGAATTATTAGTATTTTTCTTTTAATTCAAAGATTAGATTACACCTTAGTGCCCACCTTAAGAGAGTTGTTTCAAGTGTAGTAGATGTATTATTTCATGTTTTGCACTTGATTGTTCTTATTTGATTCAATTTGTTTATTTTGGCATTTATATGAAGAAACTAATATCGATTTCTTCATATGTGGAATATTAATTCT